CTCACGTCCCCTCTGAAACGTGAGACAGATGTGTGACTCACCTGTGGCCCCTCTTGCTAAGGGAAACGTCCAGAGGCGCACATGGGACAAGGGGGCCTGTGGGAGCTTTCGTACTCATATCTGACCAAGATTATCATACCTGTCTTTATTTGAAACTTACTAGTATTTCTAGATAAGCCAGTTTTGTTCTCAACGTGAAAGTCGAGTAGTTTTCTAAATTTAGTCCAAATCAAAACAGTATTAAAAACCTGTTACATTCCTAGGTGTACACACAGTTAATTTGTAGAATTACCTTAGGAGTCTATACTTGGTTAAAAGCTGTGCTTTTAAAGTGGTACTGTTATATTTCTCCTACTGCAGTCTCCGAAGTTTGCTAAAATAGGAATAAAGCAGTAACTATTTTTCTTTTTTAATCCTCACCCAGGGATATTTATCTTCAGATAGAGTGGGAAGGAGGGGAGAGAGAGGGAGAAACATTGACGTGAGAGGGACACATCGACTAGTTGCCTCCCATAAGACCCCGACCAGGGCTGGGTACTAACCACAACTGAGGTACATGCCCTTGACTGGAATGGAACCCATTACTCATTGGTTCACAGGCCGATGTTCTAATCTCTGAGCCTAACTGGCCAGGGCTAACACTAACTATTTTAAGCCACTTACTTATGAGTGTGAAAGCCATTCTGGTTAGAGTGGGTGAGACCTTCTGCAGTCCCTTCAGGAGTGGGCCTGGGGAAGAGCGGTGCCCGATGTGGTACGGGTCCGGCAGCCTCGTTTGCCGGCCCTTCCAGTCTGTGGGAGGTCTGCTTCCTGTGCTCGCATTATTCACCACCATTCAGTTGTTTCTGCTTGTGCTCTTCAGAAGTGAGCACCTTCTGGTTTTCCAGGACATAAGTCTCTTTCGACATCATTGCTCTGGGGCCAGTAAAACCCAGGAGCCGAGATGCGTGGGCCTGGCTAAAGCTGCCTGCCCAGGACACCCACTTGAGGTTGAGCACACAGTTTCATGTTGTTGTTACTGAGAGGGGCCCCACAGGTGAACTTGAGGAGTGGGTCAAAGAGGAAGATGAAGGCCTTTCTCCAGGGCAGCCAGCTGTTATTTAGGGAGGGAGCTGAAAGGAAGGAACACACACACACACACACACACACACACACACACGACAAAACGAAAAAGAACCTTTAGCACAACTTTAATGTTTTTGTTTAATTGCAACACAAAAAAGATGCTCAGCATCTTCCACTCTGCAGAGCAGGCTGTCCCCAGAGTGGGCTCACCTAATAACTCAGCCAACTGTGCTTGGCAGGAGCTGACACAGCAAAAATTGGCGACCCTTCTTAGTGACCTTGGCTGCACCAGGAAAAGCTTCGTGAAAATTGGATTCAAGCTGCCCTGGGCAGAGCCAGAGTGTCCATGGACGGGTGATCGGGGGTTGGAGGGCCTGGGCCTGGCTGTAGGTGCTCCTGGTCTACCCGCTTTAGAGCCCTTGTCTTGGCTGACACACAGCTTGGCCAGCAGCCTTTGAGGGCTGGCACGGTGGCAGGGGGTTTTACGTTTCTTCCTTGCATCGGTTCTGTTCTCTCGTGTCATTAATCAGGATTCCATAATTTAAAAATTGTAATTTAAGATAAATTGACAGGAAATTTTAAGGCAGTGTAAAAATGTGAACTTTTATGTGTTGGGTACACCCAGAGTCATAAAATATAAAAATAAAGTCTATATTTTTTTGTGTCAGAAGTTAAAGGTTAATACTCTTTTCTTAGAATACTTATGATTATATGTTTTTTAAAAAGCAGCTTTTATTCATATATAAATGTACTACTTAAATATCCATTGATTGAGAATATATTTAGATTAAAATGCCAAATATATTTTTGTTAGAACAGTAGTCGTATAATTTTTAGTTTTTGAAAGGTCTCATTAATACATGTCTTGCTCAGCTTAGTGATTTCTAAAATTTCATTAACAGTTGCCCCTGTGATATTGAAATAGAATCATTTGGTCTTAAAATTTAAATATTCCTGCTACAGTAAGACTCATTTTCTTTAGTTTTAAGCCTAGTATTTTTTAGAATCTCATTTTTAGCTATAGTTTGTAATAGAATAGAATTTAGAGAGGAAAAGGGAATAACTTTCTGTTCATAGAGTTCTGCCGAAGTCACTTTCAGCATCAACTAGTGAAAGGAGTGATAACAAAGGATCCACGGTACTAGCACTGGATCTTTTAAAATCTCTAGATATTTAGTTTCTTTTCAAAACGTTTAATTTCACACTAACCCTTTAGACTGAAAGAGGAATTGTAAAAATAATAGAAAACGTTCCCATAAGCCCTTTGCCGGCTTCCCCTAATGGTATCACCTCACGTAGCGAAACCAAGGCCGAGCCTGTGCCTCCCTGTATTGGCGGTGTGCCTGGTCACATTTGAGGGGTGCTGGCCTCGATCCCCAGTTGAGATGGCATCTGTGAGTTACTGTATTGTTTCCTTTGTAAATAATAAATATTTGAAGACTATGTAACTATGCCTTTTCTCCGTAAACCTCACCCATTTTCACGCCCATCGGTGGTCTTGCTGGTCAGGTGCCGCAGTGGTCACGGCACTTCTCTTCAAATTTGTCCACGTGCAGTGTGTCCTCTGCTCCTGTCATTCATTCAACCACTTGTTCTGTTACTGTCGGTGCGGACGCCTGGGGTTTCAGCTAACGCTGCTGTTGCTTTTGTTGGTCAGTTGCTCCACCTCTGGCTGTTGGGGGCTGTTTCAGGTCGGCGTCTGTCCTCTGAACAGGACCTGTACGTACGTACGTACATACATACATACATACATACATTTATTTATTTATTTATTTATTTACCTCACCCGAGGACATTTTTCCATTTTTTGTTCAGGTAGAGTGGGAGGGAGAGAGAGGAACAGAGAGAGAGAGAAACACCGATGTGAAAGGAACACACTGAGTGGCTGCCACCCGCACGACCTACCAGGGCCAGGGACAAACTGCAACCGAGGTACGTGCCCTTAGCGGGAACTGAACCCGGGTCTCTCAGGACCGCAGGCTGATGCTGTAACCGCTGAGCCAAACCGGCCAGGGCATATTTATTTATTTTTTGAATACTTTCTTTCTTTCGAGCACAACTGGCCCTCCAGGCTAATATTTTTTCTATGCCCTCTCCCTGGAATCAGCCACTTTCAGGAATCTATGTCTCTCTTAATGGAGAAAAACACTTTGAACCTGAGACCTGGGTTCTACTCTTGTATCCAGATGCCCCTTGCCCTAGAAGATCGTGCGTTCGCATGGACACCTGGAGTCCCACCCCACTGTCCCCCGCCCCCCACCACAACTTCTCACCCCGGCTTCATTCTGCGTAATGTCTCCTCACGGTTGGCTGCAGTCCCCTGTGCAGTAGTTCCACAGTTGCTGACCCACACCTTACGGGAGACACAGCCGCCACCTGGAGGAGAGAGTTCTGTGCACTGTGCTCCTCAGTTCCTGCAGCTTACCAGGCCCTCCGGTCCTCACTCTGATAATTCACTCTTGTCATGCACAGTTCTTTGGGTTTTGATAAATTTTATAAAGTTGGGTTCCAAACAGATCAGTTCTACACCCAAAATTTCCTCCCTCTGCCCTTTGCAGTCAGCTACCCCCAAGCCCTGCCCGTTAGTGGTCTTTTTGGTTCTCATAGTCTTGCCATTTCTAGAATGTCTTATAAAAGGAAATATATAACACAATAGACTTTTGGTTCTGGCTCTCTCACTTCAGCAAAAACCCCAGGAGAGGTCAGAAGTCCGACTCAGGTCTCACTGGGCTAGAACCAAGGTGTCCCAGGGCCAGCTCCCTCTGGAGGCTGCCGGGAGAATCTGCTTCCTGTTGTTTCAGCTCCTGGAGACTCTGTGCCCCTTGGCTCATGGGGCCACCGTCCAAGGCAGCTCCCTCCATCTTCACAGCCAAATAGCCTCAGGCTGAGTCCCTCCCTTGCTGTGACCCTCTGGTTCTCCCTGTCCTGCCTCCAGTTTCCATTTCTAGGGACCTCTGATGACACAAGCCTGCCAGGTGTCTCTTATAGTAATAAGGTCAGCTGATTAGCAAACTTAATTGTATCTGCAACCTTAATCCCCCTTTCCCAAGTAAGAGACTGTTCATGGGTCCTGGGGGTTCGCCAGATACCTGCAAGAGGGACATGGGTCTGCCTAACTCTGGTCGACAGACAGGCTGCGGGGCACCGTGGGTTCAGGAAGCTGCTGTCTGGGCTGGAAGGGCTGGAAAGCGGGGCTCTGCTGGAGGAACCCAGGGAGAGGAAGAGATTCAAGGTTCAGAAGCAGGAGTAAGGGTGCTGCCAGGCCCCGGCTGGCGCTCGGGTGGCAGCTCTCTGAGGCTATTTCCTGGTGTCTGAAACACCCTTTAAAAAAATTTGGCTGATATAAGCTATACATCTTCAAATCCAAAACCCTGTGTTTTCTGTTGTTACTAAAGTCAGTGAGTCCTGGTGTATCCGTAACAATTACATGTGATGATGTAATGAGAAATGTAAATGGAGCCGACTGTTTGAGCTTGGAAAGGTTTCCTGCCTTCTGAGTCTGGTGGTTTGGGTAGGGGGACTTGCCTGACACTTAATAGCTGTTTTCTGTCCTTGGTCAGCTATTTCTGGAAGGGTGTGGGGGCTGTCGCTTCTGCAGGCCCCTCTTCCCTGTGTGTCTTCATGGGCCACGCCCACCATACCCCTTCCCCGACTCCACCAGTTCTCGTCCTCTGTTGCTTCCCTTGGTGGTCCCCCAGGCCTGTGCAGCTGCCCTTCTCCCTGGGACTTTGCTTGCGCGTAGGTGTGTACCCTCAGGTGGCTCTTATTAGAATCAGGGTCAGCTACCCTTAGCTCCTTCCTCACAGGTATTGCAGCGTCTGCAATGAGCCAGCAAGCTGTGAACACACGAATGAAAGACCAGGGTTCCTAGTCAGTGTCATGGGGTCTGAGTCTGTGCACATCTCCTTTTAATCGGTCATTTTCTTTTCCCACAGTGCACTGGTCATCGCCACGGTGTTCGACCGGAACGTGAACTGCAGGAGGGCTGCCTCTGTAAGTTTCCCCTCTTGTTCCTTCCTGTGGGTGTGGGGCTCGGGCCAGTGCCACTGCTTGAGGCTGCTGTGGGCAGCCATGTCCACAGTTTCTGTCTCTGCTGTCAGGGTTAGGGGCCTGAGTAGGTGTCTGACCAGGAGGGGAAGGCAGACAAAGAGGCAGGCTTGAAGTGCCAGGACCTGGGAGGATTTACTGTAAGAAATGGGGGCTGCGGGAATTTCATTTGCCATGACATGGATGCTCCATGGGTGGATGCTCTGTGGGTGGTTGGATTAAGAGATAGACAGGGTTCCCAGATGGTCAGGACAAAGGCCCAAGCTGGGAGAGGAGAGAGCTGCCCTGCCTTGCCTGGGGCTCCGCCTTTCCCTATTGGCAGACTTTCTTGGGCTGGTCGAGCCCCCGCTGGACGGTAGGCAAGTGCGGGCCTCCCTTGGGCCCTCTGCCCTCTGTTTGGAGGCTGGATTCAGGTTTTTTTGTGCTGGGGGAGGAGTGAACACACATTGGGGGCGGGGGGGGGGTGGAGAGAAAGAGTGGATGAGGCAGCCAGGCCTCCCAGGGCCTGGCGGTCCAGGCAGAGGAGGTGTGTGCCTGTGTGCCTATGTCGGACTGTGTGTTCATGGCTGTGCACTTCTGTGAGGTTTTAAAGATGTCAATGGGAAGGATGCTGGTAGAGGTCCCGAAGTGACCGCAGGAGTGCAGGTGAGCGTCAGGTTTGTGAAGAGGCACTGCTGGGTCAGAGACAGGATGAGAAATAGGAATTGGTGGCAGAACACAGGCGTCACACCTCCTCCCACACACGGGGCGCCTGTGTCATGCTGGGGATGTTCCCATCCCCTCAGGAGACAGCCGGGCTGACATGTGGACACATTTTGGGATTTTTAGTTTCACAGTCAAGCTCAGGGCCTAAAAGCTGGGAGGTGAGAGTGGACAACACAGGCTGGAGTGTCTGGGGAAACCGTGGATGACCTGGAAGAGGTGGGAGAGGACAGGTGGGGGCAGTGGCCTGGCCATCCCGGCGAGGTGCCGTGTGAGCTGTCACTGGAATGGAGTGACACTTCCTGCATGCTGCAGTAGGTCCCACTGCTCCTGCCGCAGTCCCAGCAAAGTGCCAGAGCCCAGGAGGGTTTACCTCTCTCGGGAAGGGAGTCGGGTGGGTGAAGCTGGGGCGGGGATGGCAGCACTATGGTCACAGTTCTGTCTTCCTGCTTTGCTGTCCTTGGGCCTGAAGAGCCTGCCCAGTGCTGATTCATCCCCACTTCACACACTTCCCAGAGCCTAAGCACCACATGTGTGCTGTGGGACATGGGCTCCTGTGTGACAGGACCCTGAGGTAGTGCAGCGGTGGCCCCGCAGTGGAGACGGCCAGCCCCTCAGCTGGGCTGTTAGGGGAGTGTGGAAAAGGAAGGGCTTTTCCCTGCGCTGTTCCTTGTTTGAAGTCGTTTATCAGGCCTGGTGGCAGTGGGTGTTTCCTGCATGCAGGGTCCGGTCACTTGTGAGTGAGAGAAGTTCACCTTTTTCTTTTTAGTCTTGACGCCTTTTTTTGTTTCTTTTCCACACTGCGCTAGCCAGAGGCGTTGCCAGGACAGTGCCAGGGAGAAGGGGTGCGAGTGGGTGTTTTTGCCTTGCTCTCGAGCTTGGGAAAGTGCGCAACCTTCCACCATCAGGTGTGCTGGTAGCTGTAGGTTTTTCGTTAGCAGGTTGAAGAAGTTCTGCTAGTTTGTTAGATGTTGGATTTTGAGACGGTTGTGTGGTTTTTGTCCATTATATTAATACGGTGGGTCATACTGATTTTCATATATTAAACCAACTTTGCATTCCTAGGATAAAGCCCACTGGTCATGGCATGATCCCTTTATTATTATTATTATTACTACTACTACTACTACTATTTTTTAATTCTTACCTGAGGATTTTTCTGATAATTTTTCCACTTATTATCAGATAGAGTGGGAGGGAGGGGGAGAGAGAGAGAGGGAAGGAGAGAAAGAAACATCTAGTTGCCTCCCGCACGACCCCAACCAGGGCCGGGGACAAACCGCAACCAAGGTACGTGCCATTGACCGGAATCGAACCCGAGACGCATTTGTCCGAGGGTCAACACTCTAACTGCTGAGCCAAACTGGCTGGGGCAGATCCCTTTTTATCTGTTGCTGGATTTGCTTTGCCAGAGTTTTCTTGAGTACTTTTGAGTCTGTATAAAAAAAGGGATATTGGTCTGTAGTGTTCATTTGTTGTGATATTTTAGACTGGCTTTGAAATTGGCCCGTGAAAGGAGTTTCCTCTGTTTGGTGAAGAGGTTTCAAAAGATTGCTGTTACTTTGTTTCTACTTTAAATGTTTGGTAGAGATCACCAGTGAACCATCTGGGCCTGTTTGGTTTTCTGTGTCTTTAGAAACATTTTACATTATTTATTTCTTTGTTTGCTAGAGATCTGTTCATCTTTTCTGTTTTTCTTCATGTCACCTGAGTTGTCAAGTACAGCTATATGACGTTAGAGAATGCTTGTCTGCCCCTTCTTGTTCTGTTTCTTTGTCACATGTCACCACACAGAGTCCACCTCCATCTTGTTTCAGTGACAGCTCGTGTGCCTGACCCCAGCCTTCCGTTCTCTCCTCAGCCCACCTCCTTGTCGTGGGTGGCCACATGCGGTGGGGGCTCAGCAAGTAGCCGCTTGAGGAGTGAGGAGTGTGGGACCAGGAATGAGCTCTACACCGTCTGTTGCTGGGGTGATACTGGAGAAGCATCGGCCTCCTCTCTCAAATGCAGGGCCCCGTTAGAGCATCCCCAGGCCGCTCAGCCTCTGATGGCTGCCTGCCCTCCGTACCCTTCTAGGCAGGACGCAGGTTGTACTGGCCTCACTACCGTTAAACCTTCTCTGTTGTAAGGGAAAGTTTGCCGGGAAAGCTTAGCCCTCCTCTCTGTGTCTGGAGGACATGCAGTGACTCCTTGAGAAGTCTCCATGCTTCCGCCTTGATGTCCGTCTACAGACAGTGATTGTGATCTCTCGTTACGTCTACTTAAACGTTAACTGTGAGGTTTTCTTCTGTTCACTTCACATGAGACACGGGGAACAGTATACGCTGATACCTTTATAAACCTCAGGGAGATGAGATAAAACCACAGAAATCATTGTTTTCATGTTAAAGTAATAATTTAGAGTAATATTGGGAATGTCTTTGCATTGAACATTTACGTGCACCCTGTGGATCCAGCAGGTGCAACGTTAGAACAAGTAGAACAAGTCAGAGGTACATTTGTGTGAAGCTCCCTTGAAAATGTAGGATCGAGTTCCTAATTACTGGGAATGAAGTTTCTTTCCACGAAGCTGCTCCCCTAGGTAAAGACATGTCCAACTGTTGGGGCTCCTGTTTGTGCTCATGAATAGTGGTCCCGAGGTCATCTGCCAGGGCAAGGACCCCCTCAGGTTCCCTCGGTTGGTGTCTTCCCCTCTGCACTGATGTGGTGGGCACAGCGGAAGGTGCTGACCCTTTCTCAACACTGGAATTGGCTGTTGGGCTTTTATTTAACCAATTGGCTTGTCTCCATCCCATGTTCATCTCTGGGCGTTGGTGTGAGCAACATTAGCAGCTGGCGGCCACTTTCAGGATGTGTCTGGTTTATGAACTTGAATCATTAACTTGTGGTTTTAAAGAGCACCAGGACATAAAGACAGAAGGACAAACAGCCCTGGAGATTCTGATCACCACCAGTGGGGACTTTTTATGAAAAAACTAATAAAGCCAGGGGTCATTTGTTGTGAATTTATCTCCTGGTGTTTAGCAAACTGCAAGGCTCACTCACTGCTTTTTGTTCTTTCTATTCCTCAGGCTGCTTTCCAGGAGAATGTGGGAAGACAGGTATGGCTGCTTCTTAAATCTTCGTTTCTACAACTTCCTGTCGGTTTAGAGGGAGAAATATAGAAAACTAAAAACTGAGTGTTCTCTTGAATGGGTAACGAATTCACCTAGAATAGACTAATACTTAACACGGTTCTGCTCACACATTCCCTCACAGCGTGACTCAGGTGAGTGTCGGCACAAATTTTAAACAATTAGTGAGTTTCATAGAAACCTGAATGTAGAAGTAATTTTTTACACACACGTCAGAGATCGGTGCCTTCTGCATTGCTGAGGGCCACCCAGTGTTGCTTGTTGTCTGTGGGTGCTCGGGTGTAGGCAGAGGAGCCTGGCTTCCTAGGGATAGCATTGTGACCCCTATCCGTCCCGTGGGTGACCCGAGCCAACTTCCGGAAGCCATTGATCCCATGGTGCCTCTCAGAGCCCACTGGCATCTCATCATGTCCCCTGGCTTTGAACCTCTCATCACTGGTCAGCCATGGCTGGGAGGTGTGGCCTTTATCCCTGAGTTGCTCACGCTGTGGGAGATGATGACAGCCTTGGGACATGTGGCAGGCCTGGTGGAGAATGGGCCTGAGGCAGGTGATGTTTGGGAGACCTCGAGCTGAGCTGTGGTCGAAAGGGGTGAGAGGTGAGCATGCCAGGAGATAGGTCTGGGCTGATGGTGAATGTGTCATAGGTGAGGGATTGGCAGGTGATACTGGGAAACAAGCGATGATGGGCCTGTGGGATTTGGGGGCAGCAGTTGGGTTGCAGAACCTGTGGGGAACCCCATGCAGAAGGCTCAGGAGGGAGGAGAGGACAGGGAGAGGTTAGGAGAGCCCTGCGTGAAACACCACTTGAGAGGGGGATGCCCTGGGTGAAACACCAGAATTCTAGGATTTGGTGCCTGGACTTTTGGGAGGAAGAAGAGGATCAGGGACTGGACCTGAGCACTGCTCACTTCGTGCCTGTGTCATCAGGGGCCCTGTGGCAGGACCAGGCTGCTGTCTCCATCCTGGGGCCTACGTTCTGCACAGTGGTCCACGGCCTCCCAGGGTTAGTTGCCTCCTGAGCTGCTTGGAGCTGTTTGGATGGTGATGTTTTTGCACAGTGTTGCTGCACAGATGCAGGATTTAATGGTCTGGCGCTGGATGGAGGCAAGTACAGAGAGCGTTAGGAGGGTCCGAGTGCTGCCTGGAAGGGAAGGCACCACCTCGGGAGCCACGGCCGCCTTTTCCCAAAAGTGCTTGGGCCAGTCAGGGGCCAAATGGAGACAGCTGAAGACAGTCTCAGTTAGACCAGGTGTCCTGGCTGCCCCTTGGATGGTGGAGCTTTTCCTTCTATGTTTATCTGTGTCATAAGGCAAACTGGCTTTTACATGTTGCTTGTGAACCAAACCCCACCTGTGAGTTCCCAAACATCACGGGTGCTCTGCGCTCCGCGCCAGTCAGGGTCCAGCCCCACGTGCGCCTCTTGGCGCAGCTCTGCCTGTAGCTGGCTGTTGGGCACTTGCCTCGGTGACAGGTGCGGCTGCCACTGCTCGTCTCCCTCTGCAACGGGCTCCTGCTGGTTTGGGGTGTGTTGTCCGTGTGAGCGCCGACGCAGGTGGTCAGGTGTCGTTGTCTTCTGGACTTTGCTTGTCAGGTGCTGGGAGCTTCCACCATTTTCCTCCCTGGGCCCGAGTGGTCCCAGCTGGGAGTGAGGAGGGCGCTGTGAGAGCAGGGGTCAGAGGCTGGCCTGTCACCACCCTGCTGTGGTCCGTGGCTGAACGGCTTTCCCTCGGAGGTTGAAAATTGGTCATTTAAGACTTTTTAGACAACTGTTTTATTTTCAGATTTTCAGAGACTGTCACCGTAGAGTGGTGCCGGTAAGGACATGCAGATTTTGGGGTGGGGCTGGCGAGTGCGGTGGGTGAGGTGCCCGGTCTCCCCCCTTCAGAGTCTGCTGCTGGGTGTCACTGCCGAGCCTTCTCTCTCATTCTCACAGGCTATGAGTGTAGCTCCTGTCCAGTCTCAGGGCCCCTCAAGTGAGTGCAGGCTGGGGTCCTCCTGCCCGGATTGGGGAGAGCACAGGTCATGTGACTCCGTAATTTTATATCATTAAAACTTGATGTCTTTTTGTGGTGTATGGTTAAAGGAAGGTCTCCAACATTTTACAGTTGAGATATTTGAGCTGTTTGAAAAAAATTAAGTATTTTTAAGAGGTTTAAGTAATGTCGGCACCGTGTCCAGCCTGTGATAGACGCCCAGTAAGTGGACTGGGTGGAAGCTTGTGGACGAGCACAGTTGAAGTAGCACACAGGCCCAGCTGGGTCCACCCTGCCTCTGTGTTCATGAATGCAAATGAGTGCAGTAGGATTACTGAACTGGGGAGGTGCCTTGACTTATCCTTTTTCCCTGCTCTGCTTTTTCCTTAGGGCACTTTCCCTCATGGAATTGATATTTTGACCACGGCTGACTATTTTGCTGTTGGTAACAGATCTAACTGTTTCCTGGTTATAAGGTAAGTTTCTAATATCACAAAATATAACATCCTCTTTAATTTAGACGTCTGCAGTCAGTGTCCGCTGTTTTCTTTCTGCATTCTAGAAAGCCCATGAAACAATTGTGATTTATGTGTGAAAAATTAAAGGTAGAGTTGGAAACTCATTAGAACTCTTATTTCTCATTGATTGGATGAGTGCGTACTATACGTTCTACTTGTGTAAAACTTGAGAAGACACACGGGACATTAAAAGCTTCAGGCAAATCCACAGGAACGGCAGCAGGTCGGGCAGCCTGGAGAGGGTGCGGGACCTACAGAGAGAAGTGGCTCTTTTTAAAGAGGTGTTAGCCCTGGGCGGTTTGGCTCAGCAGTTAGAGCGTCGGCCTGCGGTCTGGAGAGACCCGGGTTAGGTTCCCGCTAAGGGCATGTACCTTGGCTGCAGTATGTCCCCAGCCTTGGTTGGGTTGTGCGGGTGGCAGCCACTCGATGTATCCCTTTCACGTCGATGTTTCTCTCTCTTCCTCTCTCTCCCTCCTGCTCTATCTGAATAAAAAGTGGAAAAATGTCCTCGGGTGAGGATAAAAAAAATAAATAAATAAAGAGGTGTTAGCAGTTTCAGGAGCCAAGTGGACATGACCATGCTCTCTTGTGATCACTTTTCTCTTCATCATCCTGTTTTATTAGTACTGTTTGTGTTGAGGGCTTGATCTTTCACAGAGATGGCCGCAAGCCAAACTGTGCCCTGCCGGCTGTGCGACAGCTGTCCTGGGTGTCACATGCGGATTGAGTTTCTCAGGGTGAAATCTCGGATCAGGAGTGGAGTGACTTTCTTTTTCTGCATCAATAAAATAGTTTTCCAGGTTGAAGTTGTGTTTGTGAGCTCAGTAAGGAATAGGTATTTGAGGAATCAGGTCAAGGAATGAATATTTAATGTCCCTGAGTGCAGTTTGCAGAAGTTACACCAAAGCTTTTTTTTTTTTTTTTTTTGGTTAATCCTCACCTGAGGATATTTTTCCATTGATTTTAGAGAGAGTGGAAGGGAGGGAGAGAGAGAAGCATTGATGTGAGAGAGATACATCAATTGGTTGCCTCCCATGTGACCCCACCCCCACTCCCGGCTGGGGGATCAAACCTGCTACCCAGGTATGTGCCCTTGACTAGGAATCGAGCCTGTGACCGTTTGGTCTGTGGGCCAACGCTCTAACTGCTGAGCCAAACAGGCCAGGGCTAGAGCTTTTACTTAGCAATCCAGGTTTTGGGAAATGGCTCCCTGTCTGAGTCTACTACCTGTGCAGCATGAAGAGGGAAGGACAGGTTTTGCGGCGTGATGTATTTGCCTCAGACTGGGAGCAGCACGCCAGTGTGTTTTATTTAATTAAAAAAAAATTTTTTTCCCCTTTATTGATTATAGACAGAGAGGAAGGAAGAAGGAGAGAGAGAGAGAGAGAAACATCTATGAGAGAACATTGATTGGCCATGTCCTGCATGCCCCTCACTGGGGGTTTGGCCCACAACCTGGGCATGTGCCTTGACCGGGAATCGAACTAGTGACCTCTTGGTGCGTGGGTCCATGCTCAACCACTGAGCAACACCGGCCGGGCCACGCCAGTGCATTTTAAAGTCATCAATCATCATGTATTCTAAGGACAGATTCTAACACCCCTGCCGTGCAGATCATGCAGAAACCACATTTCTCCGCAACCAGCATGGACATATTTTTTTTAAATGCCGTCTCTTTCCCTGAAGGGCTCTGTGACCAAACACATCTTATTTTTAGCATTTTTTTTCTGCCTTCTCGGCTTTCACGGCCTCCTGTGCCCATTCTGTCTTTGGTTGTTAATACTTGAACATCTATTTTATTGGAGAACCTACCACCTCTCCCCGAGATTCGTGGGTCAGATAGTAGTGGTGCTCAGCCTGGACATGCTGTCTTGCTGCTGAGGTTTCTGGTGCACATGTGGCTCATTTCTGTCATGTGGAGGTGGAGAACCCGACCTTGCTCAGGGTGTTCTCTCACTGCACCTTGTATGCTTCCTGTGCACAGAGGCAGTCTGTGAGGACGAGGTCCCTCAATGGCTGCACCCCATGATCTCAGGGCTCTCCCCTCGGCTGTGCAGGACAGACGCCCAGGTCCTGCAGTTAGCCAGGATGCAGGTGAGGGAAGAGTGTACACGGCAGAGGGAGCCTGGTCTGTGGGGAGACAGCCTGGGCGGGGGACTTCTGAGCCAAAGCAAGGAGTTTGGATTGTTCTGGGGCCATGGAACACGGTTTAATGGTCAGATCTTTATTTTGGTAGCTAGAAGCAAGGAGGTGTTCAGGGCCCTGCAAGGTGGGGAACAGTCAGGGGATGGGAAGCAGATCTGCTGGAGTTGAGTGAGTGCTGTCAGCAGGTTGGAGCGGTTTCGAGAGCCAAGGTGTCAGGGTTACCCCAGGGTCACTTGCAGCAGGTTGCGCCTGTGAGGAGAAAATGTCTGTGGGTTTGGGGAAGGTCACCTGCTCAGCTTTGCACGCTGATTGCGAGGGGCTCGTGGCACGGTTGAGTGACGGCACACCTGTGTGCAGACAGTTCTGGAGAGTGGAGTTTCCAACTCACAGACTCAAGTTGAACTGAATGGAAGCACCTGCGTCGTGGGGCTGAGGGTAGTCGTCCTACCTGTAGTTATTTCTGTAGCTTTCTTAGTGTCAGAGAGACAGGAACTGCACACGTGTAACGTGTGCCATTCTCTGTCCCCATTCTCGTTGCCAGGGTCCCTGCACCCCTGCTCCAGGCCACCCTGACCTGAAGTTGCATGCCTCTCGTTGACTCTGGCTCGTGCATAGAGATTCCCTTTGTCCTTGTGTGCTCACCGCTGAGGGGTATCTGGGTGTTCCCAGTTGGGGGCTGTACAGATGCAGCCCTGGGGACATCCATGTGCACGCTTGTCAGTGGACAAGCCCTCACTTTTCTGAGTTAAGTTGCTTAAGAGGGGAATGGCTGGGTCCTCACATTAAGAAACTGCCAAATGGTTTCCCAAAGTGGCAACGCCCACTGGCTGCGGTGAGTTCTGTTCCCTCCCTGTCCCCATAAGCTCTTGCTGTGGCCAGTCTTTATAATTTTAGCGGATGCACAGGAAGAGGGATTAATCTATCTTCCCAATGATTAATGACCATGAACATCTTTTTGTGGATGATCTTTTTGTGGGCTTGACAAATCCATTGCCTGTTTGTTTACTGGTGAGTTGTTTTCTTCCTGCAGAGAATTTGAGGGTTCCTCCTGTGTTCTGAGTACAGCTCCTTCAGATCGTGCTCTGTAGGTGTTTTTCTAGTCCACGGCTTGTTCAGTGTCTTCTGTATTCCTAAGACAAACCTAAAAAAAAATCAGCTTTATTTCTGCACACCTGTTTTATTACATATCACTTACATATAGTAAAATTCACTCATTTAAAATGGGGTTTTGACCCGGCCAGTGTGGCTCTGTGGTTGAGTGTCGTCCCTGCACTAACTGGGTTGTGAGCTTGATCCCATTAGGGGGCGTGTAGGAGGCAGCTGATCAAACCTACCCTCATGATGATGTTTCTTTCTCTCTCCCTCTTACTTTCTCTCTCTGAAATCAATAAAAGCAACTTTTTTTTAAAAAGTAGTTTTGGCCAATGTGGAACCACTCCCACACTCAGCATGAGGTGTGTCCCATTGCTCCAGCAGGCCTCATGCCCAGCCCTGCTGCCTTGGAACCTCTGTCCCCGAGTCCCCTTTACTGGAATGAGTGTAGATGGGGTCACGAGGTGTGTGTCGGCTCCTTCAGCCTCACAGTCATTCCCTCCCCGTGTCCCGCCACTGTGGTCTTGGGTGTGTGAACACAGGCTCCTTTCTGCTGGGATGTAACTCACGTCATTGGCACCCTCTGTTGCTTTGTCTCGCTGTTCCTTACGGATTTCTGACATCTGCAGTCCTATGTGCCCTTAGTGTGCATTCTGTCATATTTTGCTTTCTAGCCGTTGTTCTCTAACAGTTCTGTACATTCCTGTCCACTGAGCTCTTCAAGAAAGCAGTTTGAACTGTTTCCCTCTGTAGATCCCAGCTCAGCACACTGTGTAGCAGCTCAGTTGCTTCTCTTTCTCGCTCCCACCATGTGGTCACCTGGCTCTGTCACTGCTGCATCCCTCCCATCCTCAAACGCTCTCGTCCTGCTCCTCCATGCGGCTGTTGCCTCTGTCCAGCTTGCACTGACCTGGGCACATGGAGAGCCCGTTGTCCATCCTCCCTCCACCGCCACTGTCTTCGGAGGCATCTCTCTCCTGTCACACACCAGATTGTCCCCTCAGGCTCCTCTCCCTCATGCTCCTCCCTCTGCCGGACTCCCTGGTGTGCACTTTGCATCTGCGCAGACGCAGAGTGCTCTGTGAGGGCTGAGCGCTCTGTGAGGGCTGGGTGCTCAGCGAGGGCTGGGCGTTCCGGGGCTGGCGGCTTGGCAGGGCATCTCGTGGAGGTCAGCCACTGGTTGGTGCCAGAGCTTGGGCCAGCGCTCAGGCCTCCATGTGCTCTTCCGTGAAGCCAGTTGTCATTCCTCTGTCTGTGTTTCTGGAATCCCACCGCTCCTGGGCACTGGCCTGGGGTGGGCCTGTCTGCTGGGAGGCACCAGGGTCCTCATGTCCGAGCAGATTCTCCTCCATCTCATGCACAGGCCTGCCCACTGGGCACACAGGTTCATCTCATGTTACACGCACATGTGTGTCCACAGAGTCCATGTGAAATCATACTTACCTTCTTGGCTTTCTGCACCATCTGCTCTCTCTTTTTTTTAAACTCATCTTTATTGTTGACTGTATTACAGATGTTCCCTCCTTTTTCCCACCATTAGCCCCCTTCTCCCCAATCCTGCCCACCTCCTGCCTTCCTACACTATTGTTAGTGTCCATTGGTTGTCCATATGTGCATAGAAGTTCTTTGGTTTACCTCATCCTGCCCTCCCTTCCACCTTCCCTTTGAGGTTCATCAGTCTAAAAACCAGTTTGTACTTCTTAATTCCTTCATCTTTTTCACCCATCCCCCCAGCTCCTTCCCATTTGGCAAGCAATAAAAAGTTCTCTGTACTATCTATTAGTCTGTTCCTGTTCTGCTTGCTCATTTTGTTTATAGATTCAATTGTTGCTAGATATATATTTATTGCCATTTTATTGTTCATAATATTTTGTTCTCCTTCAAGAAAATCCTTCAACATTTCATATAATACTGTTTTGGTGGTGATGAACTCCTTTAGCTTTTTTTTGTCTGGGAAACTCTATATGTCCATCAATTCTAAATGACAGCTTTGCAGGACAGAGTAATTTTGGTTGTAGGTCGTTGCTTTTCATCACCTTGAATATCTCTTGCCACTCCTTTCTGGCCTGTAAAGTTTCTTTTGAGAAATCAGCTGACAATCTTATGGGAGCTCCTTTGTAGGTAAGGAACTGCTTTTCGCTTGCTGCTTTTAAGATTCTCTCTTTGTATTTATCCTTTGGCATTTTGATGATGATGTGTCTTGGTGTGGGCCTCTTTGGGTTCATCTTGTTTGGGACTGTCTGTGCTTCCTGAACTTGTATGTCTGTTTTCTTCACCAAGTTAGGGAAGTTTTCTGTCATTACTGTTTTAAATAGGTTTTCAATTTCTTGTTCTCTCTCTTCTCCTTCTGGCACCCCCAATATGCGAATGTTGGCACGCTTGAAGTTGTCCCAGAGGCTCCTTACGCTATCCTCATTTTTTTGGATTCTTTTTTTTGCTCTTCTGATTGGCTGTTTTTTTGCTTCCTTATATTCCAAATCGACCATCTGCTTTCTCTGTCAGGTGCTGTGTAATGTGTGGGTGATGTGGCAGGTTGAGACAGCGATTAGCTGTTTTGGAGGCATGGAGTGTAAAACTGCATTTTTGGGGTAGGGGGTACATGCAGCTGGTATAAATTTCAGAATGTGCAGAAGAGCGTTTAGGGAAGAACAGTTTGTTTCAGCCCTGGCCGGTTTGGCTCAGCGGTTAGAGCATTGGCTTGCAGTCTGGAGAGATCGGGGTTCGGTTTTCCCGCTAAGGGCACATACCTCGGTTGCAGTTTGTCCCCGGCCCTGTTGGGTCATGCGGGAGGCAGCCTCTCGATGTGTCCCTTTCACGTCGATGTTTCTCTCTCTCCCTCCCTTTCTCTCTCCTTCCCATTCTATCTGAACCAAGAATGGAAAAATGTCCTCGGGTGAGGATAAAAAAAAAAGAACAGTTTGTTTCACCTCTCCTTTCAGCCACCCAGTTCCACCCAGGGTCCCTCATTTTCTCCAGTTTCTTACGTCTTCTTGAGATGTGGTCGTTTCACACATTTAGGTGTATTGACTTCCATTCCTCCTTTCATCCTTGCCGAATGGGGGTACATGTGCACAAGGTTGGAACAACTTAAGTGCTCAGCAGCCGAGGATGCTCAGGTGGTGATGTTTCGCTGTAGGAGTGAGGAAGCAGCTCTGTGTCTGTGCTTGGCAGGATGGACATCTGTGTGCTGTGCAGTGTGCTGTGCAGCGCGCTGTGCCCTGTGTCCTGAGAGCATCTGCATTAACTCCCTCCGACTACTGGCTTCTGTCCAGTCTTCGCTGTTGTGAATGATGTGACGCGGGTATTTTTGTGTAGAGTCGTTGTGATCAGTTCCTCGAGTAAATATGTACAAGGGATTTATGTATATTTAACTTTATAGAAATCTTTCGTTTTTTAAATTATCACTTGAGTATATTTTTCCATTGCTTTTTTATTTTATTTTTTTAAATAGTTTATTTATTTTTTCTTTTTAGAGCGAGAGGAAGGGAGAGGAGGATGGGGGTTGGGGGGAGAGGGAAAGAAACGAGAAACATCAAACTGCTGCCTCCTGCATGCCCCTACCTGGGATCGGGGATCAAGCCCAAAAGCTATGTTCTGACCAGAATCAAACTGGCAGCCTTTTGGTGCATGGAACAACGCCCAGCTGAGCCACACCAGCCAGGGCCATAGGAAACTGATTTTGAGTGGTGGCACTACTTTACATTCTAACGAGCAGTATGTGAGCAATCAATTCCTCCACATCCTCACCCTCTCTGAACACCGTCTCTTTCAGCATGTTTATTGCTGGCTTTCCCGAGTACACACAGCCGATGCTGGATCACTTGCTCACCATGAAGATCAGCCATTGGGATGGGTAAGTGTTGCACTTCTGTGTGGATGGAACAGGAGCCTTTCAGAATTCTTTCTTTAAAACTATGTTTTGTTTGTGTTATTTTTTTTAAGTATAGCTGATTTACAATATTACATTAGATTAGGTGTCTCGTAGGGATTTGACCCTTAAGAATGCTCGACAAGCACTCTAGTAGTACACCTTTATCAGTGTTGGTATTCTGTTACACCTTTTTAGTATATGTTTTTAAGAGGTATTGCCCTGGCCGGTTTGGCCCAGAGGTTTGGGTGTAGGACTGAGGACTGAAGGGTCTCAGGTTTGATTCTTGGTCAAGGGCACTTATCTGGGTTGTAGGTTCAATTCCTGGCGCCACTCGAGGTCATGTGGGAGGCAACCAATTGATATGTCTCTCTCACATCAATGTTTCTCTCTCTCTCTATCTCCCCCCTCCCCCCTCCCTTCCACTCTCTCTAGAAGTCAATGGATTAACCAAACAAAAAAGAGGTATTGGTCCGTCATTGTCTTGGGTTTCTTTTTAAAGGTTTTCTGCTACGTAGACATACCTCAGATAATTTATGTATCAAGATAAACATAATTAAAAAATTTTTGATTTGGTAAAATATACATCATTATAATATTTATTATCTTTTTTTATAAATCCTCACCAGAGGATATTTTTCTATTTGTGTTCAGATAGAGAGAGAGGGAGAGAGAGAAAAACATTGATGTGAGAGAGATGCATCAACTGGTTGCCTCCCACACTACCCCAACCAGGGCTGGGGACGAACCGAAACTGAGGTATGTGCCCTTGACCGGAATCAAACCTGTGACTCTTTGGTTCACGGGCCAACGCTCTAACCGCTGAGCCAAACCAACCAGGGTGGAATATTTGTTATCTTAACCACTGTTAGTGGGCAGTTCAGTAGTGTTAAGCACATTTACTTTGTTGTACAAACAATCTCCAGAACTTTCTATCTTGTAGAACTGGAACTCTGTCCTCATTAAACAAAGACTCCCTCCTTCCCCCTCCCCCAGCTCCTGGCACCCACTATCTACTTTGTCTCTCTGAATCTGACTGCTCTGGGACCTCATATGAAATCACACAGTGTTTGTCTCTTTGTGACTGGCTGATTTCACTGAGCACAATGTCCTCAAGGGTTTCAGAATATCTTTTCTTTTTAAGGACGATAATATTCCCTTGTTGGACATACCATGTTTTCTTTTTTTTTTTTTTTGTACGTGCCCCTAGCAGGGGGTGCCGAACCTGGGACTCTCTGGTCCGCAGGCTGACACTCCAACCATTGAGCCAAACCGGCCAGGGCATACCACATTTTCTCTATCCATTCTTTATTCATTCATCAACGGACCTTTAGTTATTTCTGTTTTTTGGCTGCTGTGAATCATGCTGCTATGCACATGGGTGTCCAAATATTTTCTCTCGTCCTTGCCTTTGTGTGCATGTGTGTGTGCTTGTGTGCCCTGACTGGGAATCGAACCTATGACCTTTTAGTGTATGGGGAGATATTCCACCCAACTGAGCCCCACTGGCCAGGGCCCCTGCTTTCAGTTCTTCTGGGTGTACACCCAGAAGTAGATGGTGTATTATATGGCAATTCTGTTTTTAATATTTTAAGAAACCTCAAAAACCATACTATTTTTCTTAGTGGCTGCACCATCTTATATTCCCACCAGCAATGCACAAGGATTTCAATTCCCCCAAATTCTTACTAGTACCTTTTTTCTGCTTTTGTGATCCTAATGGGTGTGAAGTGATAGTTTAATGTGTTTTGATTTGAATTTATCTAATGATTATTGATCTTGATATTGATACATGCTTGTTGGCTATATGTATTTCATCTTTGGAGAAACGTCTCTTCAAGTCTTTGTCATTCTGTGTGCAGTTGAATATTTGTTGTTGTTGCGTTGTGGGAGTTCTGTACTCCAGATATCAACCCTTTTCTGTGGCTTGTAGATGTCTCTCCCATTCCTCACACTGTCTTTTCACTCTGTTGATGGTTTCCTTTGATGCAATCAGAAGTTTTAAATTTCAGTGTGGTCCCATTTATCATCAACTTACCTATTGTTTTTACTATTGTTGCCTATACTTTTGGGGTCAAACCCAAGAAATCATTACTAACCCTAATGTCATAGCACTTTCCCCTCTGTTTTCTTCTAAGAGCTTCTAGTTTGAGGTCCTCTGATAGTTCTTCCCACCTTCTGCGTCTCATGGGGGTGTGGATGGTGGAGATATTTTGCCACCCAGCACCTCAGAGGTGGCAGTGGTGCCCGAGACGAGTCTGGGTTCAGGTGCTGCATTTACTAAATTCTCTCTTCCTCGTTTGTTATAATCAGAGGTTATTATTTGTTTCTTTTCAGCAGTGATTTTGATTTAGTGGCTAGTTGACTCATTTAGATTGTTTCTCTTTTTATGAGTTGAATAAAGCTAGAATCATCAAAATGAAGGAACTAACAATTTTCTGTCTGCGCCCCCCCCCCCCCTCCAGGGTCATCAGAGAGCTGTCAGCGAAGGCGCTACACAACCTGGTCCAGCGGGCGCCTGTGTACAGCACCGCTCAGGGTAGGTGGCTCCATCCATCCTGTAGGCCTCGCACACACGCGCAGACGTGTATGGCACAAACACACACATGTATTGTCAACATGACGCTGAGGACGGGCCACCTTGCTGGTTTCAAGACCTGGGGAGCGGAAAATAATGTGTTTCTCTCCTGCTGATAATTGGGACAGAACCCAAACCAGTTGCCATGGTCTTTCCAAGGACAAATGCTATGGATGCTGCGGTGTGTCCACCGGGAACTCTCAGTCCGTGCCCCTGGCCTGGGGGCCGGTCATAGCAGGGAGTTGATGGAATCGTGTATGTCCTGCATATTTCAGAAATAGCTGTTTTTAAACAGCAAAACAAAACAAGTGAACTAATTCATCATGTAATAAATTTTAAAAAAGCTGTTTCCTGGGTGGCTCACGGCCTTGGTAGCAGCCTGCTGTGCTGTGTCGCTGACCTCTCAAGGGCGGCAGGGCCCACCTCTAGGCTGTCTCACCTGATGGTGCGGCTGTGTCAGGGTCCATCGCAGGGGCGTTTGTCAGAGTGAGCAGCTAGTGGTCAAACCATGGGTCTTCAGTGCAGCTGCTTATCTTTCTTCTATGTGTTTAACATTCTGGGACTTGAAGTGGTTCTGAGGCCCTTTCAGCTTCGTGGTTTGTTAATTCAACTGATGTCAGGAATCTTGTGTGGAGCTCACTTACCTGTAACTGATGAGCTTTGCTGCTGGAGGGCTCAGTGCTGTCCTTTCTTCCCAGCTCAGGAGCTCCAGCGGGCCCAGAATAAGGGGTTTCCTGACCCGAACACTGGTGCCAGCTGCCATGTGGGAGCGCCTGAGTGGCGCTCTCGCGGCTTGGACGCTGTCTGCTTTGGCAGCCCCTGCACCGCTGCACGGGCGCGTTTAGAGAAGTTGAGATGGGCTGTGATGTCCCCAGGCTGGTGGAAAGCTGGTGTGGACGCGGCTCCTCCTTGTCTGCTCTCCACCAGGCTGTGAGGACGCTGCGACTTTGCGTTCTGTCCCCAGAGCATAAGACACCTAGAGGCCCGTCCTGCTCTGCACTTAGTCACAGGAAAGATCTCACCCCATGCTACCTATCTTGTGTCTGGGGACCTGGGGTGTGTGTGCTGTTTGGGGAGCAAGAGGCATCCTCGGCCACAGTCCTATTCAGTTGCCTGGGTGCCAGGGAGCCTGGTCTGTTGGCGACATCAGGCGAGGTCCTGGGTGTTGCAATAACAATCCTGACAGAACTTCCAGCGGGTGCGTCTCTCCTTTTGGATCCTGAGTCACTGAGTCTGACAGTCATTCTGTGTGTGCTCATGCGATGTCTTCTGTCTTGTCCTGTGCAGTGTTCCCACGCCTGCTGTCGATGACACAGAGTCCAGACCTGCACACGCGGCACGGGGCTGTGCTTGCCTGTGCGGAGGTGGCCCACAGCCTGTACACACTGGCGGTGCAGGAGGACAGGTACAAGAAGCCCCCGCCCTCCTGCTGAACCACTGTGGTCGAGAGCCTGACCCCATTCATTTTATTTTGTTAATTAGTGCTGGTGGGGCAGTCTTCATGTTTTATTTGGTGAAGTTTGTCAGTGGTCCTCTTGCCTCTGATGAGTTGTGGCCTTTGATGGACCACCCCACTCAGGGAGCCAGCGAGCATGTGGCCAGATGGAGGCCACTGATGGCCATGATGTACGTACAGGCTGACTACTGAGCTTGGTTCCTGACCACTGTAGAGCGAGTGTCCCAGTGGAGCGAGTCCCCCAGATGTCTGGGTTTCCTGGTGCACATAACAGCCCTGTGGACACTGCTGCAGGCTGCTGAGTGTGCAATAGCATCATGTCCAAACTGTGTACGTGCCTCACTGAGAATGCCCTCGTGCTGAAAATGCCAGCCACCGGCTGAACCGTCAGCCTCTGTGGTGCTGGGGTCTCACGTGCTGTGTTTGAACTCCTGCAGGCCCGTGGAAGACTACCTGGACAGGATGACAGTGCAGGGCCTGAAGCAGATTCACCAGCAGGTCTGTATGTTGCGGGGTGTCTGTCTCTCTCCACCCTCAGCCGCATTCGAAGGCTGGGGTATGATGACCAGAAGCACCCTTCGGAGGCTCAGTCCCAGCACAGTGGGCAGACCTGGGATCCATCAGCTGGGGGGTGGTTCTCTGCTCTTCATGGGCCATCTCCTCAGGTTTCTGTGGGTGGAAGAGCATCTCGTCTCATGTGGCCCGTGTCCTGGGGCAGGATGCAGGGCTATCAGCTGGGCCAGTGCATTCTGGCAGGTGCAGGCAGCTCAGCTCAGGCCTTGCTCCCCATCCCAGTTTGGTCAGGGCCTAGTCTCACAATAACCACAGTGGGTGGGCACAAAGGCCTTGGATTCCCAGCTGTGCCTTCCTGGTGGGCATCCTGAGTCTGAAGTTACCATGCTGCTGGGGAGAACGACGGGTTTTTCTGAGTTTTCAGCTTCTCAGAGGCTCCTGTGATTCAGAAGAGCTGCAGGTCTCAGGGTTACAGGACAGCGTCAGTCATGATGAGGCTTTAAATGGTTCACTGTTTGTTGTCCCAGGTGGACTGTTGTGTTTTTTTTTTTCTTTATGGATTTTTAGAGAGGAAGGAGAGGGAGAGAGAGACACATTGATGAGAGAGAACATCGATTGGCCGCCTCCTGCATGCCCCCCACTGGGGATCGGGCCCACAACCTGGGCATGTGTCCTGACTGGGAATTGAACCGATGACCTCTTGGTGCAGGGTCGATGCTCCACCACTGAGCCACACCGGCCAGGCTTTTTATGTTCTTTATGTAGTAATGCACATTGGCTCTCAGACTCTTTTTTTTCGTTTTTTCACCCTCACCCAAGGACATTCTTCCATTTTTTGTTCAGATAGAGTGGGAGAGAGAGAGGGGGAGAGAGAGAGAAACATCGATGTGAAAGGGACACATTGAGTGGCTGCCACCTGCACAACCCATCTAGGGCCGGGGACAAACCGCAACCGAGGCACGCGCCCTTAGTGGGAACCGAACCTGGGTCTCTCCGGACTGCAGGCCAACGCTCTAACCGCTGAGCCAAACCGGCCGGGGCGGCTCTCAGACTCTTAACTGTTTGTGCCACAGACTTGCTCTATGGTTTGGCTGAGCTGTCAGTCTTTGTACTCAGTGTTTGTCACTTTACACTGGAGTGTGGCCTGCCCGCCTCCTTCTGTCAGGATAGCATGACAGTGTATGAGCCAGTGGTGCTGGGAGGCAGGGCAGAGGTTCAGAGACTGTGGCCATGTGGCCGTGGTACTTTGGCTCCTTTTTCTGTAAAGTGTGAGGGATCACAACCCACCTCTAGGGTTTTTGGGAGAATTAAAGCACAGTGCCATTTAATTTTAGCTGTGGTGGTGATAAGAGGCATTCCTAGGTTCTTTGGAAGAAAAAGTGGCATCGGAATTCCTGATTGGTGGGATTTGTTTTCTGCCCAAGAGGCTATTTAGGGGGATGGTGATGTCCTGGTCAGTCCTGGCACCCCATCTCTGTCTGGCCACCCTCTTCCTCCCCTCTGTGCCTCAGTTTCCCTCCCAGCTGAGGCTGTTGTGAAGATTAAAGGAGATATTATGTGAGGGGTTCAGTGAGGTGCTCGCAGAGAATGAAGTGGCTCCATCCCTGGGCAGCCCAGCTTGAGATATGTTCCTGGGCCCTGTTTTCTCATTGTTAATGTTGCATACCTATTTTTAAAATCTAAATAATGTATATAACTAAAGAACTTTTTATTTTTTGTTTCTAGCTTTATGATCGTCAGTTATACAGGTAAGCTTTACAAACTGAAGTGCTTACATTTTTGTGTCTTGAGCCAGCTAACGCAGCCCCGAGTGGGGCTCCTGCCGGGTCCCATGGGCCTGCTTTGGTCCTGTTCTGTTTGATGCTGTGACAGCCACTGCTTCCTAAGAACTGGCCTCACCTGGCTGGTCTCAGCTTGTGGAGGTTTACTTGACGCTTGCTGGTTGAAGTGTGGAATCCGACAGGTTTGGGGGTCACAGGCCCCAGCAAGGCAGCTGCGTTACCTGACATTTCCTCTGCCCTCCCGCCACGCAGCCTGCGTTGCTCTCCAGCAACAGAGCAGCCTTTCCCGAGTTTCATGGATGGAGTTGTTCTGCACAGCCTCTGGGTCTGGTTTCTTTCTTGGAGCGTGAAGTCTCCAAGACGTGTGGCTGTGTGTGTGCAGGTGTTCCTGTGCGTTGTGGTGGTGCTGCTGTGCGTGAAGTCTCCGAGACGTGTGGCTGGTGTGCGTGCAGGTCCTGTGCATTGTGGTGGTGTTGGTGCTATGTGTGTGCCTTTGTGCTCATCTGCGCTCCAGGTGATGGACATTCAGGTTATTTCTCTATGCTTTTAAGACACTGAGACCTTTCTTCCCTGGCCTGTTTGGCACAGCTTTTAGAGCGTCGGCCCATGGACCAGAGTTGCGGGTTTGATTCTGGTCAAGGGCATGTACTTTGGTTGTGGTTCGGTCTCTGACCCTGGTTGGGGTCGTGTGGGAGGCAACCAGTCAGTGTGTCCCTCTCATGTTGATGTTTCTCTCTCACCCCTTCTCTGTTTCTCTCTCCCCCTCTCACCCACTCTATCTGAAGATAAATGGAAAAATATCCTTGGGTGAGGATTTAAAAAAAAAAAAAAGACGGCGGAGACCTTTCTGAAGCGACTGATATTGTCTTCCCACCAGCAGTGACTGAGAGCTGCTCTGTGTCCTCATCACCACTCAGCTGCCTTAGAGGGAGCCAGTGCTGTGGGTGTGCACTTCCCAGGGACCACTGGCCTTCACTGTCTTCTGTCTTCTTCCGTGAAGTGATTGCTCAGATCTCGCTCATTAAAAAAATCTCACGATCTGTCTTCTTACTGAGCTGTCAGCATCTTCACGTAGTCTGGATACGAGCTCTTGGTAGACACCGTATTTGCCAGAATTTTCTTCCTGTCTGTGGTTTGCCTTTTCATTTTTCTTTTTTATCCTCACCAGAGGACATTTTTCCATTTTTTGTTCAGGTAGAGTGGGAGGGAGAGAGAGGAACAGAGAGAGAGAGAGAGAAACATCGATGTGAAAGGGACACATCGAGTGGCTGCCACCCGCACAACCGACCAGGGCCGGGGACAAACTGCAACCGAAGTACGCGCCCTTAGCGGACACCGAACCCGGGTCTCTCAGGACCGCAGGCTGACGCTCTAACCGCTGAGCCAAACCGGCCAGGGCATGCCTTTTCATTTTTCTTAGCGGCTTTTTAAAATGTTTTTGAGAGAGAAACATCAATGTGGGAGAGAAACATCCATCGACTCTCTCCTGCATGCCCCCTATTGGGGATCAAGCCTGCAATCCGGGCATGTGCCCTGACCAGAAATCGACCTGGCAACCTTTTAGTGCTCGGGATGACACCCAGCCAACCGAGCCACACTGACCAGGGTTGCTAATGGCTTTTTTAAAAATACATGTTTTTACTGATTTTTTTTTTTTTAGAGAGAGAGGAAGGGGGAGAGAGAGAGAGATCGATGTGAGAGACATTGATCAGCTGCCCCCTGCACTCCCCCTACTGGGGATCAAGCCTGCAACTCGGGCCCGTGCCCTAACCAGGAATCTAACTGGGACCTCTCAGTCCATGGGACCACACTCAATCCACTGAGCCACATCGGCCAGACTCTTAGTGGCTTTTTAATTAACTGTAGGGTTGTGTATATCAGCCTCTTCACTTTGTTCTTGATCTCTCTCATTGTCTTCTCCCCGCCTCCAGTTTTCCTGAAGGCCTGGGCCCGTGCAGGGCTCAGACCAAGGCCCCTTCCCATTCCAGTGTCAATATCAGAAGTGTCCAAACCTGTAGAGGATTTTTATGAGTTTATTGGAGCCAAACTGATGACAATTGCTGGGAAGCAAAATCTCAACAGATTGAGAAAATGATCTGGAGAATGGCAGTTTTGTAGTTTATTTTATACATGGAAATTAAAGGAGGGGTAGGGGGATTACATGAAGTCCCTTGGGGGTAAATTAAGGGGGCTAGAGAAAGCAGAACGGGGAAATCTCTGGGGTTGGATGAGGAATGAGATGGAGGCAACTCCTCTATCACACTGGTGGGTACTGGGCAGTGGACCTTCACAGCACAGGGAGATGCTGTGTGGGCAGCAAGGTAACCACGAGAGTTCTGTAGCCTCGTGCTCTTGGTGTGCCCTGAGGGCTCTGGAAAAGATCACTCTGACATTTCAAAGGTTTGTTATCTTAGATGTACAAAGGCCATAGTCAGGTTCACCCGAGGTAAAGACTGACCTTTGTCAGGGAAGCTGAAGGCCCAGGACGTGACCACCACCATGACCCCTTATAAGTGAGGAACTTTTCTATTCAAACCATGCTGTGTGGTGCATGCTGTCTCTGAGTGTGTGAGACCTCCCCTGAGCTGGTCAGTGTTCGTACAGGGGACCGTCTTCTGGACCTGGCTGTACTCTCCTGGGCTGAGCTGTGCTCAGTTGGCGCTTTTACTTGACGTTGATTTTTCTCATAAGTCTGCGTCCCTCGTAGAGTCCTCTTTTGTGGACAGGTCTGTCCATAGTGAGACTTCAGATGCAGCCTTTGTTCCCACTATCAGTCAGACCTGCCCCCCCACAGACTGTGCGTGGGCTTGGACGGGGCTTGTCCGAGTTCTGTCAGCATCTCACGGACACTGTTAGGTCTGGCACCCTGCTGGTCTCTGGTTTCCATGGTTGATGGCCAGGCGTACCCAAGGTCATAGGACTGTTTCCTAGTTGTCCCTAAAACTCTCCTTCTCTGGAGCTGGCCTGTGACCAGCAGATGGTCCCAGTTGACACATGGTGGTGGTTTTCTTGCTCAGTGTGTTCATGGACTTCTCGCCAGAGGAGGTGGTGAAGCCTTGCATGGCCCCAGATAGGACTCCTGTGGCTGGAAGGAGGGAGTGGCTCAGCCTTCTGGTGAGAAGGTTACTGTTCTGGGTTCAAGCTTCCTCTGGTGGCTCATGGGAAGGGTCTGCACCTTGGGACGCCTGGCACAGGTTCTTGCCACAGTTCCCATGTGGGGACCCTGTGGGTGGGCTCCTTGGCCAGCCACAAACCATTCTGCAGACACTGCCAGCTTCTCGTCTGTTCTAAAAGAACAGGAGCAGCCCGGCCGGTGTGGCTCAGTGGTTGAGCATGCCCCATGCTCCAAGTGGTCTCCGGTTCGATTTCCAGTCAGGACACATGCCCAGGTTGTGGGCCCAACCCCCAGTACGGGGCATGCAGGAGGTGGCTAGTCGATGTTCCGTCTCATCAATGTTTCTCTCTCTAAAAATCAATAAAGAGCCCTGGCTGGTTTGACTCAGCAGTTAGAGCGTTGACCTGCGGTCCCAAGAGACCCGGGTTCGGTTCCCGCTAAGGGCATGTACCTCGGTTGCAGTTTGTCCCCGGCCCTGCGAGTGGCAGCCACTCAATGTGTCTCTTTCACGTCAATGTTTCTCTCTCTCTCTTCCTCTCTCTCCTTCCCTCTCTGTCTGTACAAAAAAATGGAAAAATATCCTCGGGTGAGGATAAAAAAAAAAAAAAAAAAAGAATAAATAGAGCCCTGGCCAGTTTGGCTCAGCGGTTAGAGCATCAGCCTGCGGTCCACAGAGACCCGGGTTCGGTTCCCGCTAAGGGCATGTACCTTGGCTGCAGTTTGTGCCCGGCCCTGGTTGGGATGTGTGGGTGGTGTCCACTCGATGTGTCCCTTTCACATCGATGTTTCTCTCTCTTCCACTCTCTCCTTCCTGCTCTATCTGAATAAAAAATGGAAAAATGTCCTCGGGTGAGGATAAAAAAAAAAAAAAAAAAAAGAATAAATAGAAAATAACATCCTTCAGTGATTCAGTGAGGTCAGCGTGGAAAGATAAGTGTGTGGCCACCCTCTGGGGGGACCCAGACTGGGTGCCTCTGCAGCGTTTATTTCCAATGTGTGACTCACTGTACACTCTGCCAGAGGCCCCAGCTGGTGACCACAGCAGCAGGTCACACGCTCCTGAAGGACCTGGTCACTCTCCCGCAGGCCCAAGCCTGAGGGCTCCTGCTGAGCTTGAATGCTTAGGTCTGTGCCTACATCAGTCATTCTAGCCATCGTCTCCACTTTAGCCCCATTATTTCCACTGAACATTGTTTTCCTGTTGTGGGTTCAGGCATGCCCATGGCTCCATGACTTGCCATGACACTCACTCACAGCATGGCTGATTGCAGCAAAGGATACAGATGAAAATCAGCAACAGAAAAGGCCCTCTGGCAGAGTCCAGAGGATACCACAAGCCTCCTGTTGTCCCTTCCCAGTGGAGTCACCTGGGCAGCCCTGAATTCTCCCAGTGTCCATTTGTGACATGGCTTTTGCCACCCGGGGACGCCCACCCAGGTCAAGGGGACCCCTGAAGAACTCCGGAGTGGCCTCTTTGCTGCTCCCAGACCCTCAGATTCCAGCTACCTTGGCCTCCCACATTGTCCTGACCTCACACCCAGCTCTGCACCTTCACTCTTCCCAGGACCTTCGTTTTCCAGCATCTGAAACTTTGTTCCATTGGTTTCACCCAGTTTTCTAATTGTTTAAGGCAGGAGGGCAAATCTGGATCCTGTTACTCTATCTGGGCCAGAAGCCTAGTCTCATGACTTAATTTTGTTTTCCGATGGAGTGTTTCTTGCACTCAGTTCACCCGCTGCTGCTGTCAGCGCCACGTGTGAGCCGGGGTGGCTGGGAGCCGGCAGCACAGGCAGCGTTCCTTGTCTGGTTCTGCTCACAGTGGAACTAAGTGGATGCTTCCTTGGGTTAGACAACGGTGTCCTCCTGGTGTCTTCAATTCCTTTAGTTTTCACAAAGTAAGAGTTGAACAGTATTTGGAATTTGTTTCGTGTGATTGTTTGATGTGATTAACACCAGTAAGGAGTATAGTGTCCAGGGAAAACGGGAAATCTGAGTGACCCCAGTTAGGATCTGGGATATCTGGGAGGTGCTTCCAGAACGTTGTTTTCATTTCTTACTATAAAAAGGTAGTTGGTTACATGTAAAACTAATATGAAAGAATATTGTCATTGAAAAGATTTTGAATTACAAAGCACAGACTGTGGCTCTCCCAGCACAGGTCATGCCAAAGAGCACGAGGACGAGCTTCACAGGAAACCTGTTCAACAAAGAAGGTTTCGTATGAATATAAATGGAGTGAAGTGTTGGCCCAACATTGAGCAGCTGCTGGCATATGTTAAAACTTTGTAGGTGCTCCCACCAAAATAGTTCCTGCTTGCAGGAACAGATTCTACCAGCTAACATCTTAGGAGTTTTGGAGCCTGAGGTTGTATCTGTTACTTGGTGAGGGTATTTTATGCCATTTACATAGTAGGAGAGTTTAACACTGAATGTTTCTATTTTCAGGGGCCTAGGAGGAGAGCTCATGAGACAAGCAGGTAGGTCTGAGCAGTGGAAGGCTGCACACTGTGGGTTATGACCTCTCATTCCCACTGTGGAGGGAAGAGCAAAGTCCTAAGGGCGTTTACCTCATTTCTCTTCATACTGTGGAGTTTGCCGAGTATTTTTCTGTCGGCATGACCGCGGGTGCCTGGCCTGCACACATGGACTCCTGGGTCCTCTGCCCATGTGTGCTCACTTGGGGCTCTGGTTTTTAGCTCTTGTGGGCTTCGCTGGGCATTAGTAGCTGCAGGGGTGGCAGTAGCTGGGATAGGTGGGTGAGCGGAGGGGCATGTGTCTTTCACGGAGGGATGATAGGGAGGGATCGAACGTTGCCATCTTAGCCTCTCCAATGTTTACGTTAGCTGTAGAGCAAAGAGTAACTTTTCAGATTAGATTTAAATGTTTGCAAGGAACTCAAGTGATACCAACATGAAAATATCTGGATTTCCTGATGCATTTTTAGCTGGTGGAGTCTAGTAGGTGCTTGGTCAGTCCTGGCCATGCCCTGGGCCCTGGGTCCTGACATAACAGACGTGCCCGTGATGCAGTTACTCTTTTTCTTCCTAGTGTGTGTGCTAATAGAAAAGCTGTCCCTTTCCAAGATGCCCTTCAAAGGTGACACCGTCATCGGTAAGTGCTTTTCTTCAGTGACTAACGTTGCAGCATTTCCCTCGGAACCAATTCACCTTAAACAGCAGAAATGGACCTGTTAGGATGGATGATCAGATTCGTGACATTGCAATGTCTGGTTTTGAAATTGCTACAAGAACCAGGTGTGAATGACGAGCCTCAGCCACACACCCTCAGGAAATAGAACCTTCCCTTCTCCTCTGAGCTCAGGCTCGTTTCTCAGAGCCCTGGCTGTGGCCCTGCCCAGCACAGCCACGCCTAGCGCTGGCCACTTGTGGTACAGGCCATTGCAGGACCAGGGGAGGTAACAGCAAGTGCCAGGCCCTTGGGTGGCATGTGCGAAGGCCTGCTCCCATGGTGGCCGCAGCCAGGCCCCTTGCAAGTCTGGAGCCCTTGGCAGCCTGTCCTGTCTGTGGGAGCACAGAGGTGGCAAACGGGGCCTTGGAGAGGCAGTGAGGAAGGGCCTGCACTGCGCTGTCGGCTCTGCAGCCCTGGGAGAAGGCTGCATCGAGTCATTGTTCCGCCGGCTGTCAGGTCTTTTCTAGTTGAATGCTTGGGTTTTTTTTTTTTGGTACGTGCCCCTAGCGGAAACCAAACCCGGGACTCTGTGGTCCACAGGCCAACGCTCCAACTGCTGAGCCAAACCGGCCAGGGCAAATGCTTGGGTTTTATTGGTATGGGTTTGGGGGGTAGTTTGAGGGAGAGGTACAGAGACCACTTGAAGCTTGCAGGTGTAATAAAAGAACAAAAATTTTCCCACTGTAAACATTTTAGCAGCCAAAAGGAGACTTCTTCCCTTCTGTACAACCTGGAGAAAATTAACTTTAGGTTTTCTCCAGACTCCTCTCTGTGTTTACCATCTACTTGGATTTATAAAGTGTAGAAGTCTGTTTGACCTTAATTTCATCTAAATCTTCTTAATCAGATAAATGGTTTTCTTTGTTTCTTTGACAGATGGTTGGCTGTGGTTGATCAGTGACACTTTGAGAAATCTCCATCATATCTCCAGTCATTCTAGACAACAGATCAAGGTTGGTAAACAGGGTTTTTTCAATTGCTATGTTGTATCCAAAGTGATGTTCATTATTTTTTTAGTGTTTGTTTCAAAAGGCTATGCATTATGGTCCCTTTATACACTAACATGATAATTGATAAATGACCTAGTTCCATCTGGACTTCTAGATGGTGTCGTCTATGTAACTTAAAATCAGGAAAACGAACTCGACTATTGGTGACCAGAATACACAACTTTAAAAATGCCCATTTCTGGTTTTACCCTCCTCACCTGAGCATTTCCCTGAGCGTCAGCAGTGACATGTCTCCAGCTGAGCTCCGCACTGGTGAGTGTGGTCTCAGGGTTGGAGGCTGCGTGTGTGTGTGCGCGCGCGCGCACACACAGATGGCAGGGCTGCCGCCCCGAGTCACCACTGCTCAGTCACGCTGGTCATTTCAGGGAAGAGTGTGTTGTGTTCTGGTGGCTGTGCCACAGGGGTCCCATCAGGGACAGGTGTCCATGAGGTGGCGGAGCTGTACGTTTCTACAGAGGTCATCACCAGGGGACTAAGAGCGACTCAGCTTTGTGTTGAGAATGAAGAAATGAGAATGTAATTCTCCAGCCTCCTGAGCATCTTAGCATTTCTGCTGGGCCAACAGAAAGCTTCCTCGATGTGCTTTCTGAAGGAATGTCGTGTTCTGTAGGCTTGAGGACCGTGTCACAGGCTGGAGGTGAGGGCCTCGGGATCAGTGTCGCAGACCCCCTTTCTGAAACGCTATGGTAGAGATCACGTGCAGTCTGCCGCACTGACGGCACCATGCAGCTCAGTGTGGTGCTTGTTCTGAGTCCTCCCTGAGCCCACGGCCCCTCCTGCCCGGCCCCGGCAGCTGTCTCCTGGGCTGCTGTCTCCTGGGCTGTTCTGGGGGCCTGGCTGCAGTCCGGGGGTGTGGAGAGAACATGTGAAGCTGGTGTTTGTGCTTTGCTGTCTGCGATCATGAAAGGTTTCCTCAAGCTAGGTTGCTCCTCTGTAGCAGTGAGTGTTCAGGGAGAGGACCTGCGAGTCCCGTCCCCTCCTGTGCTGTCCTCCCTCATCCTGCTGCGTGTGGCTCTGCCTGGGATTGGTGCTGAGGAGCCCTTCCCCTTCCCAGGGCCCCTGCACCCCCATCTCCTTCTGAGTGAGGCCCTACACAAAGCTTGCTTAGAGCCCTTCGCCTGTCACGTCTGGTGTATGTCTCATGCCTTTTCCTTCACTACCTCTGTTGGAAAAGAAAAGTGCCCATTTTGTTATTAACTGTTCACATTATGACATAGGATTTGCATCGCATGGAAGAAATAATCAAGTTTCTATTCAGCTTATTATTTGCTAAGAATGTAAAGTTTTAACTTTATGACAGACAGTGACAAGCAGACATGCTGGAAGGAATGATGTAATTTAGGTTCTGTTTTTTTTAAAAACTCAATCACTGGCCTGACTGCAGAACAACACAGCTGCCCCTGGGGGGCCTGGGAGGCTGCAGGGCCCCTCATACCCGCTTTGTTTTAGGAAGCCGCTGTCTCGGCCCTGGCTGCTCTCTGCAACGAATACTACACAGAGGAGCCTGGGGAGGCGGATGCTGCTGCGCAGGGTGAGTGGGCCGCCTGCTTGGCCCTTAGAATCGGGAGGCTTGGGCTTTTGAGTTTTGGTTTCGGCTCCGTCCCTCCCACTGCATGACATTGGGGACTGTGAGGGACAAGATGCTCTGGCTGCGGGGACGGGATTCCTCCCAGGCCTGCCCCACCCTGTGCCCACCCATTTTGGCACAGCTGCCCAGGAGAGGAGCTCTTTCCCTCCCAACAAGTGGCTTGTCCAGGGCACCCTGATGTTACTGACTGTGGGGACTCCCTCCGGTGCACAGTATCCCTGTCCAGAGTTAGTCAGCTCTCTCCCCAGCCATGTTGTTGAGCCACGTTTTCTCGTGAACTCGCCCTGCTCTGTGCTCTGGAGGCACAGTTATACGTGGGGTGCTGCTGACCTATCTGCATAAACCTGCTTTTGCCTTTCATTTGGTCCTTCTCAGATTTCTGTCCATTTTCCTCCTTTGGTTTCCATTGTTGGTCCTCCTTCAGCACCTATGTTCTCACTGTTGCAGTGAGTTTCCTGAGGCTTGTTCCCTGGTTCTGTCTTCTCAGAACTGCTGTTTCCACTGTCTCCTCTGTCCCCCGACTCCATGTTCTCCTGGCTCTTTATTCATGTCTGTGCTGACTTCACAGCTGTTACATTTTCTGGTGAAATGTGTTTTTAGAATTTTTGCGTGCACTGTGGCAGTATTTTCCTGGCACGCCTTCTTCCCGTGTGAACGTGCTCTGCTCCTCCCCTGGGCGGCGTGGGCATTGCTGCTCCATTGCCCCGCTGGGCCCGAGTCTCCCTGAACCTGCAGGCGCCATGCACCCAGCACCTAGTTACATGCTGTCCGTAGGGTCTTGTTCACGAGCATCATGTTTATTTCAGAAAGCTCCCCATCCACACACGTGTTGTGTTGCCCTTCGCATCCACTGTTGCTCTACAGACATGCATGATGTCGCTTCCTATGCATGTGAGCACGGCTTCAGGTGGTCGTGACCAGATGGAGTCGTGTGCAATGGTCTGCTTTCTGATTAAAAAACAACATTTTAGCCTTGGCTGGTTTGGCTCAGCGGTTAGAGCATTGGCCTGCGGTCCAGAGAGACCTGGGTTCGGTTTCCGCTAAGGGCGTGTACCTCGGTTGCAGTTTGTCCCCGGCCCTGGTTGGTCGTGGGAGTGGCAGCCACTCGATGTGTCCCTTTCACGTCGATGTTTCTCCACCCCACCCCCCCACTCTGTCTGAACAAAAAATGGAAAAATGTTCTCAGGTGAGGATAAAAAAAAAACAACAACCATTTTATAGCATGGTATCTGATACACTTTCCAAATTAATAGTGTTTTACTGGGTCTCTTTACCATAGGCAGCTTTACTTAAAGAGACAGTGATGTTATTTTGTCTGTTTTAAAAAATTGGACATGTTTTGCTTTTTGCCTAAGGAAAGGTACCATATCACACACTGTGAATATGGGAAAATGATACTCAAAAAGTGACCTTGGAAACACACGTGAACTGTGCAGAGCCAGTGAGGCAGCTGCTTTGTGCTGTTACTGAAGTGTGGTCTGTGAGTTCCCCCAAAGATGTCAGCTCAGTGTGTGCAGATGGGATTCCTGCTTTATTTTTTCTATCCTAACATGTAAGGACATAAACTGAATATTATTGAGGTTTCTGTGTGCACGTTACAAAAGTCACACGTTGTTGAAATGGAAGCTAAGCAAGAATATCCGGTCACCAGGCAGGACAGAGTCAGGCCGAGCCTCTCTTCACCTTCCGAGGTCTCGTTCCTCAGGCCCCTCTCAGAACTTCCAGCCTCACTCTGAGCCCCCGGCGCCTTTCCGCTTCTTCCTCTTGAACCTCTACCAGCTGGTCGTCCTGTCCTGAGGGCTGCGTCTCAGAAGGCGGAGGCTTCACTGCTGCTCTACTCAGCCTGCCCAGCTGCAGCCTGGGCCCTCGTGGGGAGTGCTGCCCGGGCCCGTCACACCGTGCTGTGTCCAGCTCGGCAGTTTCTCCCGTTGAAGGAAAAAAATTTAATTTTTGAGAGAGAGGAAAGGAGAGAGAGAGTTCAAGAGAAACACCCATGTGAGGGAGAAACATAGATCAGTTGCCTCCTGAGCGATCCCCAACCGGATCAAACCCACAACCCAGGCGTGTGCCCTGACCAGAAATCAAACCTGCCACCTTCTGATGCACGGGCCGGTCTCGCTCCAGCCAGCTGACCCACACCCGGTTTGCTCATTTGAGAAATAAGCATTTCTGTTCTTTGTGAGTAAACAAGGAGGATTGAGACTGGACCGTTCTCAGAACTCTCTTGGATTTATTTTTATTTATTTATTTATTTTCTCTTGGATTTATTTTCCTGAATGAAATCATTTGTTGAAATTGCTCATGAAAACCTTAAAACCACCTGATAGGAATTCTTTCCTTAAAGCCGTCTTGACGTTTACCACCTTGAGACCTTTGCTTCCGAAGCCTGAAGTCGGCCCTCCTTTCTCTCGACGCTGTTTGGCCTGTTTCTGAAATGGTCGTAGAGAGTGAGTGAGGAAGCCGTGGACAGCAGTGGGTCCCCTTGTTGCTTTGTTCCAGGGGAACTGGTAGGGAAGTATCTCGCGGAACTCCAGAGCCCAGAGGAGATGACGCGCTGCGGCTTCGCAATGGCCTTGGGCGCCCTTCCAGGCTTCCTTCTGAGAGGCAGGCTCCAGCAGGTGAGGCTGAGCTGAGCGTGGGGTGGGGCGCATCCCTATACGATGCTGCAGGTGAGGTTTGGGACCCTACACAGGAGATGGGCGGGAGATGGTGACCCGTCAGTAAATCCACGGCGGTTGTGGCCAGGAAAGAATCACTGAACTGGAGCCCGAGGCTGTGAGAAGAGGGGACGGCAGGACAGGGAGGGTGTTGTAGAGGCTGCCAACACTCTTGTGGATGGGAGGATGGGGAGGACGGGAGAGCAGAACTCCAGTTTCTAGGAGGGGAGGCTCTCGTTTGATGTGGAAACTGCTCCTGCCTCATCTGAAAGTGCTGCCTGCCCTGCGTCGTGGTCGAAGGGCACTGGCGCTAGGTCTGGAGCAGGGTCCTTGCCCCATATGTCCCTTCAGGAGCATGTCTGATCCCTGGAGTTGTCCAAGGGCCCGGAACCCAGGGCCCAGCATCCCAGAACTGTTCTCTTCTGTCAGCCAGAGGAGATTTCCGCCTCTGGGGGCCCAAGGAGAGTTCTGCTGGCTTTGCGAGAGCAGGTGACTTGTCAGGGTCTTGCTTCATTTGGTGCCTCACCCTCAAGCTGGTGGTGGGTTAGGAGCAGGGAGGGCAGAGCTCTGCTCTGGGCAGAAACGCATGGCCTGGTTGCGTGACTTAGACCTTGTCCACTGCAGAGCCCAGTGGAGACAGGCCACTTGGGGCGTGGAGCTTGTCTTGCTGCTCCAGGCTTTGCCCAGTATCTGGCTAGCCTCCGCTCTCTGTGATCGTAAGGCGCTCAGAGTGGTTCCTTTTCCACCAGCTCCCATTTGAAAGCCAGGAGCAGGGAAAGCAGAGGCTTGTTTCAGCTCACTGAGAACCTGGCTGGTGTCTCCTGCTCGTTGCCTGTACCTGAGGCCACTCGAAGGCCCTCACCCCTGGGGCCTGGCGCCCCACATGCTCCCCCACCCATCTTCCTCTCTCTTGACCGGCCTCTCTGGGCTTGCCCCGAAATGTGTGCCGTGGCTTCTGTGTCCTTGGCTTGTCTCCTCTCTATGTCAGTCATTGATTTCCCGTCACCCTGACTTGGTCCTGAGCTCCCTGTGACCACTGGTTGGCACATCCAACCAGACCCTGCACACCCACGCTGGCCTTAGTCACCAGTTTCTTGGTCCCCTTTTCCTCAATTGAAATGCTGGTCACGGTCTTGCTTACCCACCTTTCAGATGTCTATACTACCAGATGCCTGGGCCCATGTCCCTTATTGTGTGATCTTTCCTGCCCAGCATGTCTCGGGTCCGATCCCCCAGACAGACTGACAGCTCTCACCCTGGGGCTTCTCCCCTGGAAACACCAGCTTGGAACTGAGCTCTCCCTTTGAGCAGCAGTCGATCAGCTTACAGGAGCTGCCGTGTGAGCCTTCTGTTCCAGCTCCAGGTGGTGGGCAGGGAACACAGGTCTCACCTGGGTTCCAGGCCCTGGGGTCTCCACAACAGGAAGGGCTGGCCGCGACCCCTGTGGCAGATACATGATGCTCATCCTGGGGGCAGTGCAGTACCAGGACCGAACCTCCACTTGTGTGAAAAGCACATTTATCTCATGGTTGATGACTGATTGCTGCTTTTCAGGTTCTAGCTGGGTTAAGAGCCATTACCCTTTCATCTGAGGACGTGAGCTTCGTGGAGTCCAGGCGGGATGCCCTGAAGGCGATCTCCAGGTGAGTCCCAGGCTCCTTCCCGAGATGGGGTCTCAGAAGCCAGAGACCCCATCTGAGGGGATGTTCACCACTGGTCTGTTAGAGATCCAGTCTCAGACGACGCATTTGCTTAGAGGCAAATGTTATTTTGTATTTTCTAGTTTCTTTTCAGAGGATTGTCAAAAGCATTTCCAACTCAGGGGCTCATTAGGTTCTGTCCTAATCATAAAAGTATTGTTAAACCCGTAATGTGGTTGCTTCTTCACTAGGAGACGGGACCACTTCAGAGACTGGCAGCTCTGAGGAGGAAAGGGTGGGTGTTGAGTGATCTCTAGTCCATGGTCACAGGCCTGCCCACATCCAAAGTGCTGTCCTCTCCCCATGAGCACATCGGACCCTCTGTGTGGGCCCATGGGCTGCCTGTGCACCAGTGTCATGCTGTCTCCTCTGCCCGATGGCAGGGCAGGAGGCTCCAGCACAGCTGCCTCTCTGTGCACCTTTTAAGCTGTAGACACTAGAAAATGGGATTCCGGAGAAGAGCATCATGTCAGCAGGAGGGACCTCTGGAATGCTGAAGCCCCCTCTGAGGTCCCTGTTCTGGTCTGAGTGTCCTGTGAGGAGCAGCATCAGGATGGAAGGATGCAGCGTGCAGGGAAGGTCGGGCAGGATGCACAGACGTTAGCTGTTCCACACTTCTGATTTCAGGGTTTGCCAGACTGTCGGTGTGAGGGCGGACGGGCGTCCAGATGAGGTTGTGTGCAGAGAGAACGTGGCCCAGATCTACTGCACGATGCTGAACTGCCTGCGTGACTACACCACTGACAGCCGCGGGGACGTGGGCGCATGGTAAGGCCTGCGTGCAGCATGCTGACGGTCCCAGGCTCCTCTGTGCAGCTCAGGAGGACGATGGCTTTCATCAGTGTTTCAGCTGCGGCTGTGGTCATCCTGAGAGCAAGAAATGAAATAGGGAGGGAGCCACTCTGGGTCAGCCCCCGAGGCCCGGGCATGCTGAGCACGTTGGTGACGAGAGACGACCCCGTGCCGGTACAGATTATTGTGAATTCTTAGTTTCAGAGCGTCGGCCCGAGTTCTGCAGTGTGAACTTTCTTCAAAGGTTCTCATTCTCTGTGGAAAGGCTCTCATCATTTTCAGTATGTTTTCCACCTTTTCCTCTTTTTTCCGTCAATGTGTTCCTTGTGGTTAAAGACCACTCATTTACGCCAGTATCTGCCACCTGGGTCTATTTCTGTTGTTGACTCTCTTGTTACTTGATCTTTTATTTATTTTTTAACATTCCTTTTAATTTTTAACGAAATCCAGAAATTGTGAGTTCAGAATTGTAGAGGCTTTGGGTTGTGTAAGTTCCTTTGAGCAAGTCATAGGTTTCCTACGTGAGGCCCGTGTTGTGTGGGCAGGTCCCTGATGCCCTTAGGGCTGGGTGGGGGCTAGGCTGGCCCTTCCTGCTGTCCACCCCAGGGCATGGCCTGTGTCCATAGCTCTGATGGCCTGGCCTCAGACCCTAGGTTCTTCATGCACATGTGTCCTCCCAGCTGCTGGCTCCCAGGATTTTGGACTCTTACCCAGGCTTGACGAGTTAGGGCCTGGTGAGGGCTTGAGGAGTGTGTGTAGGTTTGGGTCCCTGGGTCCCTCCCCCAGCCTTTCCCTGTGAGTGCTGAGCCCACAGAGATGGGAGTCCACGGGGAAGAACTCTGTCCACCTCCTCCCACACTCAGCCTGCTCAGTCATGTGTCCTGAGCAGCAGCAGTGTGCTCGCTCGTAGCAGCCCTGGAGATGCACCCGTCCCACCCGTCAGCCCCGGCCTGTGTCTGCCTTCATCTCTCAGCACCCGTGCCTGTGCCAGCAGTTCCCCACCCCGCCCCCGTGGGCCGAGGCCTGTGTCCCCACCTCTTACGTCTGAATGGCACAGGCTGTTTCCTCGAATGCAGCTTTCACTCCTTGCGGGCAGGGGCCGTGGTGTCTGTGTCCACCTGAGCTGAGTGCGCAGTGTCTCGAGTTCAAAATGTCCTTTCACTCTGGAGTCAGGCGGGTCGTAGTGTGGGCTCAGCTTTCAAGCTGTACGAGCTTATTTCTTCTCCTGGGAGCTGTGTGGACACGTTTGTTCACAGTGGACAGAGCCGCCCTGATCTGGAAGACCCTCAGGCGGCAGAAACGGGAGCTGCTCTGCGCACTTCTAACCCAGGAAAAGCCAGAAAGCCCTCCAAGTTTTTCTGCTGGGAGAAAGCTTTGTAGAGTGGGTGTATTTTGCATGTAAGGTTTTTGGGAAAATCGGTGCTGTTTCTGGGGGAGCACTGGTAACAGCTCTCGGGACCGGCTGTCTGCGGGACACATCCCGCCTGACCCGCCAGCCTGGGAGAAACTCCTAGAGGACGGCCGCCAGCTGCCTGCGCCATTTCGTAGATGCTTCTGCTGAAGTCTGGAGTTCGGTCTCTGAACTCGCCCTGGGCTGAGGGCGTTGGAGTCTCTCTCCCCACGTGTAGCTGGGAAGCAGTCTCCTTATCCTCTCCTGTCCCTGCAGGGTCCGTGAGGCCGCCATGACCAGCCTGTTGGACCTGACTCTTCTGCTGGGGAGAGACCAGCCAGAGCTGATCGAGGCTCCCATGTGAGTGTTCTCCCTGCATCCACCCTGTGCCTGGAGGGTCTGTCCTGTCCCTCGTCCCCATGCTCAGGCCTGTTGGAGGACAGCCATTCCTGGGCGAGGCCAGGCAGAGGCCGCTTCTCAGGCTTCAGGTCCTTTCGCCCGAGCGCCTGCTCCAGTGGGCTGTTCCCTCCTGTCAGTTCCCAAGACACAGGTTGCCCTGGGGCACCTCACTTGCGGAGTCTTCATGCCCCTCTGCTGAGCTGTTGTGTCTGTGGGGTCCCGTTTCCTGAGCCTCTGCCTCCCCTCGCCCCAGGCTTCCCTTCCTCCTCCCACCCTTTTTCTCCCTGCGTCCCCCTCTGGTCCTCTCTTCCTCTGCCTCCTCAGCCCTGTACCCATCGCTACCTGCTGCTCACCTGCAGCCCTGTGAGCCCTCACTGCTTCCACCCAGGACCTCAAGTCTAGTCTTCCGGGGTCAGATCAGCATAGTGAGGGCCCTGCCATGTGGGCAGAGAGCAAGGTCCCACGATGACCTCATGTGCTTCGCGGGCCTCGGGTCAGCACTGTGCTAACGCTGGCTCTTGGTCTGCAGCTGCCATGGGGTCATGTGCTGCCTGGCCCAGCAGGCCAGCGAGAAGATAGACCACTTCCGCGCGCACGCCGCCCAGGTGTTCATGACGCTGCTGCACTCTGCTGGTCCCGCCGGTCCCACTGTCCCCCATGTGCCCCACCGGGGAGAACTGGAAAAGCTCTTTCCCAGGTACTGATTAAGGGTCTGGGTGCCCAGTTCTCAGTGGGGTGGCAGGCCCCTCTAGCTGATGGCTCTCTTGCAGGTCCGACATGGCCTTTGTCAACTGGACGGCACCATCCCAGGCCTTTCCTCGCATCACCCAGCTGCTGGGGCTGCCTGCCTACCGCTACCATGTGCTGCTGGGGCTGGCTGTGTCCGTGGGTGGACTCACAGAGTCCACGGTGAGGATGCGTGTGGCCCGACCTTTTCCCAATAAATTGGCTTTGGGGGGTGTCTGTCCTGGGTCTGGGGCAGTACTTTCTCCTGGGCAGGAGCCAGGGGTGGGGCACATGCATTCCTGGGGTTGCTTCTCCTTTCTCCTGCTGGGTCTACCCCTGGGGAAGCTGGGTCCGCAGGGCAGCCAGGGAGCTGGCACCTCTGATGGGGGTACCGGGAGCCTGACCGTTGCGGTAAACTCCTGTCCCACACGCAGTGCAGCCACCATCAGTGCCCTGTGGTGGTGTACCGCTGTGGCAGGCATGCGCACAACACAAGTCACACACGCACACGTGGCATGCTCGCCCTGTGCTGGCGTGTTTGACGCCACGTGCCCGCTGGGCTGCGACCCTGGTTTTCTAGGTTCCTGTTCTTCTGTGTGCTGCGTTTAGGTGGAAGTCTGTGTTTCAGTTTTCTGTTGTTCTGTCTCCACTGGGTCAGTGCTCATGCTTTCTGACCCTCGAAAGGTGTTGGTTTGACTGCAGAGCCCCTGCCACCCAATCCTAGTGGTCCCTGGGCCTGTTCCCATGCTTTCCTGGGCGCTGCTGCTGCGGAGGCTGTTGTCCCCTTCGCGTGGGTTGTGACAGCCTCAGCTCTGCTGCCACAGGTCTGGTGGGAGCTCATTGTTTTCTGAACCAATGGGTTCAGGGTTCTCATACTTTGGGGACAGTCTCTGCCCCGTCTCCTCTCCCTCGTGTTCCTGCTCTTGCGTTTCCATCAGTATCTGCCCTCTTGCTGTCTGCTCATCCGTTCCAGGTTCTGCACCTCTCACAGCTTCCTGTGGTCCTGCTGTAGTTTCTGTGATTATGCTTTTTTTTTAATCCTCACCTGAGGACACTTTTTCTTGCATTTTTCTTCAGATAGAGTGGGAGGGATGGAGGGAGGAAGAGAGAGAAACATTGACGTGAGAGAGACACATCAACTGGTTGTCACCCAGACAACCCCAACCCGGGCCGGGGACAAACTGCAACCGAGGTATGTGCCCTCGGCGGGAACTAAACCCAGGTGTCTCTGGTCCGCAGGCCGATGCTCTAACCACTGAACCAAACCGAGTCATTCACTTTGTTTGGAAATGTGTTTGTTTCTCATGTTTTTTCACCAGAGGCTCATCTTTATAATTGCATTTTTCCCTTTAAAAGTCGGCTGATAACATTGTCCTGCACAGTGTCTTATGAGTGCAGTGCCTGCAGTGGGGCCGGTCTAGGTCTGCTTCTGTTCCTGTTGACTCACTCGCACTCGGTCTGCTTAGGGGAACTTCCTGCCACTGGGCACGCTGCAGGGCTGGTCAGAGCTGTGGTCTCTGACGTCAGTCACTTCTCTTCCTTGTTAGCTGGTAGCCACTGGCGTCCACCCTCAGGGACACCCTGGCTGCCTGCTGTTGCTATTCTCGCCACCAGGCCCGGCTCCCGTGTTGCCAGGTTGCCCGTGGGAGGGCCCGGCCAGCAGTGCTCAGGTCTGCAGTGGGCCAGGAGCAAAGGTTCAGGACATCTGCTCACTGGTGGTGCTAGACTCTGGGGTCCTTTCCTGTCCCTGTGGGGACCCTCGGCCGTCTCCTCCGTGACGGCTCAGGACTTGTTCTAGACACAGTGATACCCTGAGGGTTTGGGCTGTGCTGCCGCCTCCAGGGAGTGGTTCTGTTTCAGGCGTTCGCACGGTGGCTGCACACTCACGCCGATCTGGCAGGCATTGGCCAGGTCCTCACCCTCTGTAGTTCAGTGTCCTCTGCTGCAGGACATGCTGAGTCAGTTTGGGGGGAGGTGGTGGGATGGACGCGGTCTCCTCATGCCAGAACGCGCCCCATGTTGCAGGTCAGGCACTCCACCCAGAGCCTGTTTGTGTACATGAAGGGGATTCAGGGTGACCCCCAGGCCCTGGGGAGCTTCAGTGAGACCCTCCTGCAACTCTTTGAGGACAACCTTCTCAACGACAGGTAAGCAGTCGCGCCATTTCTCAGACCTCCCAGGTTTTAAGGGCGGAGTGGGGCAGGCACAGGTGATAGTCATGGACACAGCCAGCCAGGGCGTCTCCGGACCACCCTGTCACCTCTCTGGGCCTCTTGCAGCCTGCACTTCGGGCCGGTGGGGTTAGGGTGTTTGCATGTGTTACAAGTGACAACAGTGCAGTGTGCCCATGGTGCTGCCCCCGGGAGTGCCCGCACCACCTTCATGCAGTCACCACCTCTGAGCACAGCCGCTACGGGAGCTGGACGCGATGTCACAGTGAGAAGAGGCTGCTTCCTGAGCGTCGTGCTCCAGCGTCGTGCTTACTGCTTCCCCATGAGGCTGAGTGTGGACTGTGCAGCTCTGCACTCAGCCCTCCAAAGGGTTGTTGCTAAACTGTTTTCTTTTGTAATTCCTCACCTGGGGATATTTTTCCATTGATTTCCATATAGAATGGGAGGAAGGGAGGAGGAGAGAGAAAGAGAAACATTGGTATGAGAATGACTCAGCAACTGGTTGCCTCCCACTCAACCTTGACTGGAGTTGGGAATCTGCAGCCCAGGTACCTGCCCTTGACCAGGAATTGAACCTGCAATCCTCTGGTCCCCAGGCTGATGCTCTAAGCACTGAGCAAGACTGGCCAGGGCTAGGCTCAGTTCTTGATGGTCCTGGGGCAGGCAGGTCCCTGTCACATCAGTGTGGCCAAAGGTGTCTCCTCGCTGAGCCCTTGGCAGCCATCCTGTCAGCCCATCTATCCGTGGAAGTATGGACACAGCTCTCAGTGAGCTCAGCCCCGTGGTCTCTCCTTTTTGTGAACACCCGGGAGGTGTGAACGAGCTTTGATGAAATGCACGTGAAACATGATTCTGACTCAGGTCAGCATCCACAGAACCATCGCCATCAACATGACACACCCTCACCCCAGAGTTTCCCGGGCCCTTGCTTCTCCCCATCCCCTGCCCAAGGCAACTGCTGATGTATTCCGTCATCACGGAGTAGTTGCAGTTTCCAGAATTTTTAAAAAATTTTTTATCCTTACCTGAGGATATTTTTGCATTTTATCTTCAGATAGAGTGGGAAAGAGAGAGGGAGGAAGAGAGAGAGAGAAACATCGATGTGAGAGAGACACATCGAGTGGTTGCCACCCACATGACCCCAACCGGGGCTGGGACAAACTGCAACCGAGGTACGTGCCCTTAGCAGGAACCGAACCTGGGACTCTGGTCCACGGGCTGATGCTCTAACTGCTGAGCCACACCGGCCAGGGTGGTCCAGAATTGTAAGTGGACTCCTGCAGTGTGTGCCCTTTGTGTTGGGCTCCTCGGGTCCAGCACCTTGTTCAGTCAACTGTGTCCTGTCGGGTGGTCACACCTCACTTCTGTTCGCCTGGGGTGGGTCTTTGGGTTGTTTCCGGTTGAGGCCTAATAGATGCAGCTGTGATGAATGTTCACACAGTCTCGTGGGTGTCTCTCTTCTTTTCTCCTGGGGAAGGCCCAGGGCTGGACTGGCTGGGCGAGTATTAACTTTTAAAAACTGCCAGCTGTTCTTCACGATTGTGCCACTCACATTCCTGCTAACACCGTCTGCACGTTCCTGGCGCCCATGGTCATCCAGTGTGCATGGCCCGTGGTCCATCCTCATGGCGGCTGTCCTGACAGCGTATGGTGCCTGTCCTGACTCTGGTGCATCCCCCGCTGTGGGTGGGGAACCCACTCGGAGCTGCCGTCTGCAGGCCCTCAGTGCTGGGCATCTGTCTGTGTGTTCTCCTTGCCACTGGGTTTTGGGTTTTCTTGTGGGGCCTGGACTTGCATTTCAGCCTTGTCTGGTTGGTGGCTTCTCTAACCGCCACCACCCCCAGCAGGTGTCTCACATTTTGATGAACTCAGTTTGTCTACTCGATCTCTGTACCGCAGGCCGACGCTCCAACTGCTGAGCCAAACCGGCCAGGGCATGTCTACTCGATCTTTCACGGGTTGTTTTTCATGTCACCTCTAGGAAATCTTTGCTTCAGTCAAGGGCACAACAATGTTCTCTTGCTTTTTTATGGAAGTTTTATAGTTAAAGGTTTCACGTTCTGACCTGAAGCCTGTTTGGGGTGAGTTGTGTGATGTGGTGCAGGCCCATCCACCTGTTCGTTCTGCGTGTGGGTGTCAGGTGTCCCTGTCCCAGGTGTGGAGGGTGGTCCTGTCGGCGTGGGCTTGTCCAGCCCCTGCCCTGATCTGCGTGCCCCTGCTCACAGCTGGAGCTGTTCCAGCCCTCCTGCCCTTCTCTTTCCACAGTGGTTTGGCTTCTCTATCCTTTGCGTTTCTCGTGAGGTTCCGGGTGGCCTTTCCTTTTCCACAGAACAGCTGTGGGCTTTGCCCTGGGTGGCGCCTCGGGGGTCGGCGGCATCAGTGCTGTGTCCCGGCCCGCCACATGACCTCGTTCCCTCCCGCGTGGTACCTGGAGTCTCACAGGTGTCCTCTCCTCCCAGGGTGTCCGTGCCGCTGCTCAAGATGCTGGACCAGATGCTGGCCAACGGGTGCTTCGACATCTTCACCACGGAGGAGGAGTGAGTGTTCGTTTCTCCCGGCGGCAGGGCTGTGGCACTTGAGCCTCATGATTCGCCTTTGAAAGAAATGGTGGTCGGTCCAGAGACCAGAATTCTTGGGATCATTTTCCAGTGTGTCAGGGTCGGTTTATGTGCCCTGTACATGCCCCCACCTGAGGCTGGCGCTGCGCGGCTGAGGTGGGGAGCAGGTGCCGAGGCCTGTGGCTGTCATCGTGAGGGAGCCGAGGCCAGCTGGCTGGGTTCAGGCACTGGGTCCGAGGCGTCTCCACCTCCTGTTTCGAGTTCCTGGGTTGCCTGACCACAGGGACCATGGCAACCTCTGAGTCTGCCTCCTTGTCTGCGAACTCTGCTGTCCTGGGTCTCAGCGGAGGATTTATCTCAGTGGGGCCACAGTTTCTTGTTCTGTTGATGATTCTACTGGATCTCAGACCTTGTGGGTTTGGCCTGTGGGGCTGGATCTCTTGTGCCCTGTGGATTGGTTTAACTTCCTACTGGACACGTTTCAGTGACTTGGAAACAGCTTTAAAGTGTCAGGTGGACCTGAGCAGTGTCCCTGTTCTTCCACTTCTGAGGTCTGCTTGCTGCCTGTGTCCTGGCTGGCGGTGGCAGTTCTTGTGCGACTGGGGCTTCCTGTCATCCACCTGGGTGGTCCTTGCCCCGGCACGGGTGGTATGTGAGCCTGTGATGACCAGGGGAGGGTGTCAATAGGTGAGTAGGGCTTGCGGGGGGCGTAGACCGAGAAGGGCCCCATTGTCAGGACGACAGTAGGGCATTAGGAAGTGGACCGAGGAGAGGAGTGACCATTGAGTTCTCAGCAACATGATGTCGCTTGGGCCTCACAGAGGGGGTTACTGAGCTGTGAGGACGAGCTGAAAGGAGCCTGGTTCAGGGAGGGGTGGGGACTGGAGACGCAGGGACAGCTCTGAGTGACAGCAGGGCCTAGAGGGCAGTGGGGAGGGCTGGCAGGTGGACATGGTGACGGGGGAGGGGGCTGAGGTCCACTTCGTCCCATAGGACAGGAGGATTTCCCTGGTGCAGTTTTCAGTGGGGGAGCTGTTCTCACAGATCCTGGAATGGCAGTGGCCAGCATGGCAGTGCTGTCTGCTCCCTGGGGAGGTCTTTCCTGGGCCTTTGCCCAGGGGTCGGCGAGATGAGGCTCTGCCCCCAGGTTGCCTGGGCCAGCCTCCAGTCCACAGTTAAGGAGGAGGGAGCACAAAATCACTGGGCTGACGTGCCTCATCTCATGTTGCGCCCAAAACTGACCTGGAGTGGGGGGCAGTAGAACCCTTGGCTGCAGCACCCCAGAAGAGGAACATGTCTATCTCCTCGGCTGGCTGACTGCTTGGCTTGGTGTGCAGAGCTGGGGGACGAGTGCGAGCCTCCCTGCAGGCGCTCCCTGAGCCTCCTGTTCTGAGTGGGGCCCGGCTGTGGTGCCTGTCCTCCCCTTTGGTCCTGGGGGAGTCTGGCTGGGTCACAGCACATGCTGGGCCAGGTGCCGTCTGCTGCTTGGTCGGGGCCATGCCAGAGGTTGGCCTGCCCTCCTGTCAAGTGGCTGAGGACAAGAGGTGGGGATGTGTCAGGCACATGAGACGGACACGTATCTGTCTCTTGCTGCTCCTGTGAAGGAACCAGTTAAGGTAACCTGGTGTAGCACCCCCGGGATGTGGTCCTCAGGTCATCGGTTGCTGCACTGCACGGCAGGAGCAGCTCACTGGCCACTCACTCTGGCGCCCTGTGCTCTCCTTGCAGCCATCCTTTTTGTGTGAAACTGCTCGCGCTTTGTAAGGCAGAAATTAGCAAGTCCAAGGACGTCCAGAAACTGCGGTCCAGCATTGCTGTGTGAGTCCCACGTCACTGCTGATACAGGCGGCTCAGGGAGAAAGGATGGGAAGCAGAGTCAGTGTGGCCCTGAGGCTGAGGGCTGTCCTGAGAGCGAGCGTAAAGGCATTGTGGTATCCCTCGCTCTGTAGAGCGATTGTGGGCACTGAGCCGGGGATGCCGTCCTGAGGACCAGGGTCACACGGCTCCAGGCCATGCTGGTTGGCAGCCAAGTCCTTGCTGTGCTGGCCACAGGTTCTGTGGGATGGCGCAGTTCCCGGGCAGCGTGAGGAAGAAGGTCCTGCTGCAGCTGCTGCTCCTGCTCTGCCACCCGTTTCCCGTGGTGAGTGCTCCTCCCACCCTTGGGTATTCCCAGGGCACGTGGGTTTGTGCTCCACACGCTGGTGCTGGGGCAGCCGGGAAGTGGGCCCTGGATCCAGGTAGGGGGAGCCTTCCTCTGCCTCGAGATACAGCAGGGTGGCCATTGTGGGTGGGGCATCCTCTGCTGTACAGACGCTTGGGTCTCCAGGGAGCAGTAGCTGCAGAGTGACCTTCACACGTCTTCCTGGGGTGAGGGTGCTGCCCTTGAGGGGCAAGCAGGATGCACAGTGAGCCACCCCACCTGTGTCCTGACCCAGACTGTCCACCCTGGGAGGGCCCTGGGCAGGGGTCTCAGAGGTGGGTCCTCGAAGTCCCCCCTACCCGAGTGACGCCTTCACTCGGAACTGCCCACCTCAGGGTCAGTCTTCATAGGACTTCTTCCCTCAGGCCGAAGAAACGTGCTTCAGGTAAACCAGACGGGACAGTTCCTGACGGTGAGAGTAGCTCACTTCACAGCAGCACTGTCAGAAATGCAGGTTCTCAGGCCACCCACCCTGCTGACTCAGCAGCCTGGGGGTGGCCCAGAGATTGGAGCCCGCTGGCTCCATGAAATACGTTCCCACCTGGGGACAAGTAGAGCAGGTGAGATCATGTCTGATCAGCGGTAGGTCTTTAATGAGGCATTTCAACAAGAGCACTGGCCTGGCTGGTTAAAAGGCGTCTGTCTGGCTCCTTCCTGATGCACTGCTGGGGCCGCAGGGAACAGGTGGCCTCGTCACGTCGTGGGGACAGGTGCAGTCGCAGCCAGCTCTCCCGAGTTAGGTCCAGGTCAGCACGTCTGTCAGGTTTCAGCTGGGCTTCGAAGTCCCTGTTGTCTCTGCTTTGTGTGTGGGTTCCATTCCCACGAACACGCTGTCCTGTCCAGATCCGCAAGACCACAGCTGGCCAGGTGTACGAGATGCTGCTCACCTACAGCGACGTCGTGGGCGCAGATGTTCTGGACGAGGTCATGGCTGTGCTCAGTGACACAGCCTGGTGAGTGCAAGGCCCCCTCCTTCAGGACAAGTGTCCCGCATATCGCAGTCCCCACAGTCTCTCCCCAAAACCATCTTGAGGGGACAGGAAAGTGAGGCTCCCAGCCCTCAGTGGCCTTGGCTGCAGGTTTGATTAGGAAGCGGTGGTGGTGGTCAGTCTTCTTCCCTGTTTGCCCAGGTTTCTGGAGCTCACTTTCCCTCACGCCCCAGAGGGCTTAGTGAGCTTCACCCAGGGAGCAGAGGGTGCCCCCTGGGGTGTTCAGGGGAGCACTTCAAAGTGGAATCATTTTTCTTGCAAGTGGTTTTTTTGTAAGTGAAACGATGGGCTAAGTTTTTACTTCTCTGGGCTTTTTCACAAACTGGTCATGTAGCAGGCCCGCTGTGCTACTCGAGATCACTGAAGACTGGCTCTTGCCTGGCTGCAGTATGGGAGGTGCGGCTGCAGTGGGCTGGCATCCCGACTCGCTGCCTCAGGGGTCTGGGGGCCTTTGCTCGCTTTTGGTGGGAAAGGCTACACGTGGATATGTTTATCAGAAAGGACAGAGGAGATGGGAAGAATAAGATTTCCTCCCTCTCCCTCCCCAGAGACCCAGTTCCTTCCACCGCAGGGCTGGGCCATCAGCCTCCTGTGGGTCCCTCGAGGCAAAACTGGGTCTCCGTTCATTTTATTCGCTGCAGTCTCTGTTGGCTTCTTGACTCTTGGTGGAGTCCAGCAGCAGGCTAGAAAGAGCAGTGCTGAGTGGGGTTGGGAGGAGCTGATGGAGGAGGTAGTGTCGTCCAGAAGAGGGAATGGATGGCCTGGAAGTGCGGGTCCTGACAGCAGCACGGAATCACCATGAAGACCCAGCAGCAGGCGCGCACCGTGCTCGTTCTGCTCCAGGCACTGCACACACACATGCTCACCGCCCACACCTCTGAGCTGACCCTTCCTCAACCCTGTGTTAGGGTGGGGCCGAAGCCTGGAGGGGTCAGGTGGACTGTTTGGGCACTGGTGACTAGGCCTTCGTGCTGATCCCAGACCACAGCACCGGTCCTGTCAGGATCAGGCAGTCTGCTTGTGGGTGTACAGAGTGTTCACATGTGTTTCCCGCAAAACAGTGACGTTCCAGTGAGGCCTGAGCTCCCCACCGAGGTCACTGGTCCCCTGCTTGGACACGATGAGCCACTGAGGCCGAGGACAGAAAGGTCTTCTGGTTTGAGGGCTTCTTCGCAGCTTTCTAGGGAGACATATAGTCCAGTGAATATCTTTGTGGGGTGCCACGTGGACACTCCGGAACAGACATGTGGTCTCAGGGGACCTAGGTGCCTCTGCTCTGAGCAGCTCGGACCATGGCCTGACCCTGCATCCTCGGGGCCCGTCCCCTAAATGTCTGTGGGGAGAGCGGCAGTCACTGCACTTGACTCTTCAAAACACTGAGTTGTGTTCTGAGTCATATTCTGGGGTTTTTCAGCTTGCAAAAGGACAGTGAAGAGACAAGTGGGCCCAAACCACCAATGCCCAGTGGGGTCCCTGGCTCCCCCATGCACCCTGCACATCCTCCCAGCACCTGATGGGGATGAGGGTGGTGTCTTGCCCTCTGATTTGATCCTTTTATATTTAAAAAAAATTCCAGAGCATTTTAAAAGAACTTACTCTTCTTCTTGTTACACAAGAGAAATACCTAGTATTTCTCTATGGTTGCTAAATTTATTTTTTGTAGTTTTATTTATATTTTTGTTTTTATTTTCTGGTTAATCCTCACCTGAAGGTATTTTTCCACTGATTTTCTGCATAGAATGTGAGGGAGGGAGGGAGGGAGAGAGAGAGAAACATCCATGTGACAGCAACACATTGACTGGCTGCCTCTTGTATGACCCGGCCAGGGCTGGGGGCCAAACTGCAACTGAGGTATGTGCCCTTGACCGGAATCGAACCCATGACTCTTGGTCCATGGGCCTATGCTCTAACTGCTGGGCCAAACTGGCTGGGGCCCAAATGAAACTTAAAAAGCTTGTGTGATACAAATCTGTGCTCCACCTTCCCCTCCCCATGCCCCCGTGAGGCTGCCCCTCTCTTCCGAGTCCTCCTGCAGTCCCAAGAAGAGTTCCGGAGTGGAGCCTGTGCAGATTCATGCCTGAACGAAGGGCTGGGATCGGGTCTGGAGTGGGTGTCATTCCCTGATCCTCGTCTGAGTTGCCTTGGGTTTCTGCACACCAACAGGAAGTTTACTGAGTTTAAAGTTTGTGGCAGGTTTGACTACAGAGCAAGTGGAACTGTCTGTGGTGAAGCCATCCTGCCCTTTCCTCCCCAGGGACACGGAGCTCCCACTCGTAAGAGTTCAGCGGAACCGCCTGTGTGACCTGCTTGGAGTGCCCAGACCTCAGCTGGTGCCCAAGGTAACTCAGGCTGGGCCAGGGGCACCGGGGCCCTTTCCATGCCTGGCCTCCAAACAGCTCCAATGAGCTGCTCTCTGAGCTCCAGTCCAGGACAGCTGGGTCCACGTGGCTCTCAGGGCAGCCCCGGCAGCCGTCCTCCACCACAGACCTGGCGCGTGGTGTGGGCAGGCCGCCGAGCTGGGAGGGTGTGGTGGTCTGCTCGCGCTCCCCGCCCACCCTGAGCACATCTGTGGGGGTGTCCTGCGGAGCATCTGTACCCAGAACAGGCCCTCTGCTGGGTGGGTGGCCCTCCAGCCTCGCTATTCCTGAGGAGCTGGCACTGACCACTCTCCCTCAGACACAGCCTTCCCTTTGCCAGAGAAGAGACCGCCTCCGAGCCTGGTCTGCTTCTTCTGTGCCTCCACCATTGCCACCCCTCGAACACTCATCCCGCCTGAACTCACCACGGTCTCCAGGGCCCGCTGGTGTGTGCCTGGGGCCGGCTGTCCCCAGCGTGTGTGTGGTGGCGCTGCAGCTTTCCGAGATCTTGGTGTCAAGCTGTTCTTGCTGGTTCTGTGTGGTCACTGGGAGATTTCTGACTGTTCTGTGTGTACTTGCCAGAGAGTCAGGACTCACTGTGAATTTCTCTTCAGTCTTGGTTCTGCAGGTGCTGGACTGGGGCCATTTGGATTGAGCCCCCACTTTATCAGCATCCTGCTGGCTGCTTCTCTGAGCTTGGGCTTGGTCCGTAGCTCTGGATTGGCTGTTTTTGAGCCTTTTTTTTTTTTTTAATCCTCACCCGAGGATATTTATTTATCTTCAGATAGAGTAGGAGGGAGAGAGAAAGAGAAACATCAACACGAGAGGGACACATTGACTGGTTGCCTCCCGCACGACCCCAACCACGGCTGGGGACGAACCACAACCGAGGTACGTGCCCTTGGCCAGAATTGAACCCACAACTCATTGGTCCCACTGGCTGATGCTCTACCACTGAGCCAAACCGGCCGAGGCTGTTTCTGAGCTTTTCACTGAGGAAGAACATCCAGGCAGAAAGAGGTGCTGCCACGCCCAGTGTGGTTCCAGGTCTCTGCAGACAGCCCATCCTCACCAGCCGGACGTGCACCTTGGAGTTGCAGGGAACACGTGTTCACGTGTAGGGTGGGTCCCCGAGAGGGTACTCGCTGCGGGAGGTGCTGACAAGCAGATTCCAGAGTGACAGGTGCTCCGTCAGCGCCCAGGGCCTATAATGGCCGTCTGGGTGGTGATCGGGCTTGTTTTCCTGGGTGAGGCTGAGCCCCCTTCTCTGATCGTTGGCGATTTGGATTCTCTTTCTTTGCCTGTTCAGATCTTTCTGTATTTCCTCTGAGTTGCCCATCTTTTTATACTTTATTTGTAGGGCTCTTTATTCTGGATACTGCAGACACTTCCCCCTCCAGGGCCTGCCTTCTCGCCCTTCGATGTAAGGCCTTCCACCTCACCGTTTCTTCCCTGTTTTATGGGTCCTGTTTGAGACAGCTGTGTCTACTCCAAGGTGGTTGTCTGTAGTCTCTTCCCCCCAGGCAGGGTTACGTTCTGCCTGTCCGGCACTGGGTTCTGTGTGGTGGGAGGGGGGCTCAGCATAGTTTCTCTGAGTAGCGGCCCCAGCTCCACTGTTGGGGCCCACATGTGTGGCTCTCTTTGGACTCCATTCTCCGTGGACTTACTGTCCATCACTGTCCATCAGGAAGCCAGCACCACGGACACAGAGCTACAGGTGTGGGTCATGGGTCCTGCGTCAGGTCATGACGGCTCCGTGGTCTCTGTCCTCCAGTTTTGTTGTCTTCAAGACTGCCGTAGCGAGTCGACGTGTTCGTTTTCACAGTGAAACCTGGCAGGAGTTAGACTGAGGTTGCTTGGAGCCTGTAGGTTGGTTTGGTGAGAACTGAGGTCCGCGATACCGAGTCCTCTGACCGTGAGCCGGGCATGTCGTAGGTTCCTCAGGAGTGCGGTGTTGGATGGGAAGAGATGTATGTCCTTGTGTAGTTGTCTCGCGGTTTTGGTTTTTCTCCTTGTTACAGGGTTTGTGCTCTTTGCATTTCAGTTTGGCAACAACACTCCTTCCCGACTTAGCCTGAAGGAGGAGGGGTGCTAGGTGTGGGCTCTGGCTCTGGGACCCTTTGCCTTCCTGAGGGCCTGTCTCAGAGCCCACTGGCTGGGCCCACTCGGCCCCTTCTTCCACATTGTTCTGATGCTTCCTGTACTCTGTCAGCCTGCCCGTCTGTTCTCCCCTCCTGGTGCTGCACTGGTGTCCACAGTGCCAGCTCCTCTCTTAGGGCCCCTGCAGAAACCCCCTCCAGTTGCTGGGGCAGGTGCTGGTCTGGTCACCCCAGGTGACACTGAGGGGCAGAGATGGCAGGCTGAGGGTTGTTATTCCCCTCTCTGCTGGCATACAGGCCGAATGCACATCAGCTTCCCAAGTAAATATGCTTTTACAGCTTTTGTTGTTGTTAAGCCTCACCTGAGGGTAGTTTTGCATTGATCTTTATGTACAGTGGGAAGGAGGGAATGAGGAACATTGATGAGAGAGATGCATCGATTGCTTGCCTCCCACACAACTCTGACCTGGGCCAGGATTGAACCTTGTAACCCCAGTACATGCTCTTGACCAGGAATCGAATCCCAGACCCTTTGGTCTGCATGCTGACACACTAGTCACTGAGCCTAACCAGCCAGGCTCATTGCATTTTTATTAGGAAAGTTTGACACACAGATGGGTGAAATCAGGGAGAACAATGCAGAAACTCCCCCATCTGCCAGCCAGGAGGTGTCGGCCTTAGGGCTCCTGGGACGTAGGGAAGGGATGCAGTTCCTACAAGAAGTAGGGCCCAGAGGATGGGGAGCCCATGGTGACCAGCCTGACCCTGGCATGTGTCCTCTGCAGCCTGTTGCCCCCTGAGGCCAGTCCTGGAAGCTGAGGCCTTGTGCCCATCTTCTGGGAGCAGCATGCAGGTGCCAGCCAGCACGGGAAACCTGGACGCAGAGCCTCGGCCATCGGCTGGTACGTTTGCTGAGGGACTTGGAGTTTGTCACCGTGGAGGCAGCTTTCTTCTAATGCAGCCAGTACGCCAGTGACCCGGGATGTCAGTGCTTTTGTCTTTATTTAAATGCGAGCCCATATCTTATAAAATCATGTGCTGAGCAGTCTGTGTCTGACCCTGTTATGAACGGTGGGGGCCTGCTGCCCTGGGACAGAGCAGGGACACTGTAATTAATGGGGAAGAAAACTGGAGGCCAGAGTGCGTCATAGGCACCCTCCTGCTCTGCCTGCCCACAAGGAGGGGGTGGCCCAGGGTGGGGACCTGGCCTGGGACAGGCTGGCTGTTGCTGAAGCAGAATGAGTCTACCACAGGCCTTGCTCAGCTCAACCTAACTGGTGACCTGGTCTGGGAGATACTCATGTTGTCAAATATCAGGTGCTATAAGGGCCAGGGACACCATCTGGCTGTCTTCCCACCCCGCCCACCCTGTTCTGGCATCCAGCACGTGGGGTCCCCCCACATGTCACTCGCCCACATGCAGTTTTTCAGAACCAGAAAAGGCTGTCACTGCGTGTTTGGAATCCTGCCTAAAACTGGCTCCAGCTGTGCGGGCTATGGTGGCCGCTCCAAGGCCGACGGAGAGGCAGGGGTGAGGCTGGCAGTTTTGCATGTCTGCTGTGAGGGGGCGACTGAAATTCGGCATGTGTCCTCGGATGGCGGGTTCTCTGGTGCATATCACGTTTGGAAAAGTCATACCGTTTCTTACTTGTCCAGTGTGAGCTCACACTGAGAACCGAAAAGCCAGGGAGACTGAAGTGTGTGGAGGGTTAGCCAGGTCAGTACAGAAAGCTCAGAGGGGTCGGGCCTGTCTGCGGGGAGCTCCACGCAACTCAGGTGCCCACCGCCCACGCTGCCCTGCCTGCTGTCACAGGCTTCGTGCTGGAACCAGGACCTGGAGCCAGCAAGGGCAGGGTGCAGGGGCTGTCCCACTTTGAGGGGACGTGGATGCCGTCTTGGGGCAGCAAGCCCAGGACTGTGACTGCCCTCAGGGGATGCATGTGGCGGCGGGTCCATGGGTCGGGGCTGTCCTGGGCACGGCTATGACCCCCTGCATTTCGCTGCTGCTGCTTCCTGCCTGGGCTGAGCTGCTGGGCTGGTTGGAAACGTGTACTGTCTGTGTGCTTGACCTGGTGGCAGATAATCTTCATCCCCCGGAAAGAGAAAAGGTAGTTATTACATTTGTGTGTGATTTTTAACTTTGTAGGTTTTTTATTTCATTCAAGCCTTAAAACATGCCTCCCTCTTGAAAACAGACAGGGAGCTTCCCATTTTAGATGACAGGACTCGCTGGTGACCCCTTGGCTGGCAGAGGCCACCTTGAGGGTCCTCGATGACCAGCTTCAGGGCATGCTGGTTGTGGGAAGGCTCTCCTGCAAGGTGGCCACATAAGGTCCCATGCTCCTGTCCACTAAGTACAGGTACACACTGCAGGTGGCGGCTGCAGAAGCCCAAGTAGCTTCTGAGAAGGAACAGGAGGAACTGTTTTAGTATAATTCTCCCCCACCCTAAGATTCCAGAGATATGGCCTTTTTCAACATGGAGACGGCATGCTCGCTACTCAAACTTTGAGGACAGAGGGAAACAGTTCCTGTCTCAGTGCTTTTCCAGTGCTGCGGCCTCAGGAAGCAGCTGGTCCAGTGGCCAGCAGCCTCTGCTCACCCTCAGCCCATCAGACCCTGCTGATCACCACTCACACGAGCCAGGGGCCCAGTGGCTGTGAGCATCTCCTCTGTGCAGCTGTGGCTTCTGGAGCCCCCCCCCCCCCCCCCCTGAGTCTAGGTGCCTGGTTCGGTGGGAAGCCCAGGCTCTCACAACGTACACTGTAGCCAGAAGCAGATGAGAGCAAGTGAGCAAACTTCAGCCATCGGGGCAAACATGCATGCTGGAAAGGAAGAGCAACGCCAGGCTGCTGTCTCGGAGAGCAAGTGCCAGGACACCGCACGGACAGGCAGCGTGTCACCCGAGAGAAGAGTACACGTAGCCCCAGAAAGGAGTGAGTTTTGTGCGTTGGAATAACAGCGAGAATCAGAATGTGCAGAGTTGCTGGTGGGGACCCGTGTGCACACAGCCAGTTCCCAAATAGCAGAGACCCTGCAGTGAGTAGGGACCTGAGGCCCTGAGGCCCTGTACCTGCTGAGCCCAAGTCACGGTGGAGTTTTGTTTTGATAGCAGTGTGGGGACAGGACCTATGGCCCAAGGCCAAACCCCACAGGAAACCCCACATGGGACCCTCAGCAGGGAGGGGTGAGAACCAGGCCTTCTCACAGAAGGGCGCAGACAGAGCAGTTTTGTCTCAGGCTCACCTGGTGCTGGGGTGGAGGGAAGAACTCTCCCGGACATCACACTCCCGCTATGATCCCCAAAACTCGAACACGGAAATGTGATCAAACTTGCTGACTCGTGGTGTTCCCAGACACTGGGCAGAAGAGGCCAAGACAACCCTTTCCGGAAGAAGCTGGCTAATCCCCAGAGGGAATTAAAAACACATAAGCTCATGTTCCAGAAATTCCACAAAGAAACAAGGCCTCGTTAGCAAAACAATAGAATCAAACACCAAGATTCTAAAAAATATAAAATGAATTTATCAAGAAAAGATTAAAGACAAAATGCTTAATGGATTAAACAACCACATAGACACAGCTGAAGAGAGAACTGGAGAAGGAGAAGACCAGCTGGGAAACACATAGGCCAAGTCAGGAGACACCAGAGAGTACAGACCTGTGTACCAGGGCCCAAGAAGGGGCCGGCCAGCACCCACACCTGTGGGGAGGCAACCGTCTGAGCAGAAGCCTAAGGGTCCCAAGCAGGACGAGCTCACATCTGGGCGCGTGCAGTGGAGCTGCTGCGGACACGGTGCAGGAATGCTGCCATCTCCCACAGTGGCTGTGGGCCAAGAGGCTATAAGTGCGTCACTGTGCTTAGAACTGTGTCCCTAGTGAAACCTGGATGGAAGAAGGGACAGTTGTTAATAAAATGAGCCTCTCCAGTGAGTGGCCAGTCTCTCAGTCTTGGCACTGTTGACGTCTGGGGTTGAATAGTTGTTGTGGGACAGTCCCATGCACTGTGGGATGTTTAGCAACATCCTAGATTCTAAGAGCAAACCCCCTTTCCAGGTGTGACAACAGTATCTCTGGGGCCGCTGCCCTTCTGGATGAACTTCAGCAGAAGGAAAAGGGTCCAGTGGAAGGGTCTCGGGGTGTGAAGAGGTGCGTGAGTTGAGAAAACAACCAACAATGACCATGTAAACAAAAAGCATGTAGAGTTTTTTTGTTTTTTTTATCCTCACCCGAGGACATTTTTCCATTTTTTGTTCAGGTAGAGTGGGAGGGAGAGAGAGGAACAGAGAGAGAGAGAGAGAAACATCGACGTGAAAGGAACACATCGAGTGGCTGCCACCCGCACAACCGACCAGGGCCGGGGACAAACTGCAACCGAGGTATGCACCCTTAGCGGGAACCAAACCCGGGTCTCTCAGGACCGCAGGCCGACGCTCTAACCGCTGAGCCAAACCGGCCAGGGCGCATGTAGAGTTTTTAAATGGACAACAGTAGCATCCAGTGCACACTATAAAAACAAACCAAGTGCTGGGGTCACAGGCCCTGCCCTCTTGCCTCAGACCACTACCTCTGTACGGAGTTTGTCCACAGAGATTCAACCAGGAGTTCAGAATCAACACCAGAATCTTCAACTCAGATGGAGCTCCCCCATGAGCCCCCACCCACCCCTGCCTTGTGCCTGGGGACCATCACTAACCCAGCAAGAAGCCATCGGTGGTCTTGTTCTCAGCTCAGTGAGACAGGCAGAGGGGACCAGGAGACACTGCATTCAAGAAAGCTCTGTAGGATTTGTCCCCCTGACCTGGGCCAGGCCGTTGAGGGTCCCAGGACTGAGGGCTAGACCGGCTATAAGATCAGAGCTCCTCCACTGCCTGCAGCAGCCAGCCCGAAATGCCCAGGCCATGGTCAGGAACTGCCCAGTCCCTGGTTCTTGCCCCATTTCCAACTGCAGATCAACCAGAGAAAGCCAGGTGTGCTCCCCTCACCGCTCACGCTCCCTCAGGTGCGCCGGAGCCCTTTTCCCTTCTGCTGCCCCTGACTCCCTGCCCCACAAGCTGGGCACATAGCTGTGCTCTCAGTGAGTGGCCTGTTTGTTCCACATGTAGAATGACATCAGATGCAGGGACAACCCACTTGGGTCCCTTGTCCGCTGCGAGGAGTCTATCTTTCAAATAAACTTTCCTTTAGATTAAAAATAAAGTCAGTCGCAGTAGCACCCCTAGGTGTTAACCCATGATGCATGAGCTCATGTCCACCCTGATGGGTACCAGATGGCATCTGTCAGGACAGCGAACCTGTCAGCCCTGACGCCGCCACTCCATGTGGTGACGGTTCTCAGAAGAGGACATGGAGTGTGACCCACAGCCCTCTGGGTGACAGATGGCAGCAGTGTGTGTGTGCATGGGTGTGGACACGTGTTAATGCATGGCGAGGGTGTGCATCGTGCCCCAGTCCAAACACATGGACACCCTGCCAGGTGAAGGGCCAGCCCAGACACGGAGGGTTTGCCCTGCACCAGCTACAGTCTCCCCCCCCCCCCCCGCCCCCGCCCGCGCTACTTGGCTGTCCTTTCCGACTTCCCTCAATCCTTTGTCACCTGCAGGACAGTGGCTGCTGTGGGCCTGTCAGCTGAAGTGCAGGAAGTCACGGCCCTCCTGCAGGTGCAGCGATCTCAGGTTGTCTTCAAAAGCACCCCCCGTCAGGTCCTGTGGGAGGGACAGCAGGTCTGGCTCGATCCAGGCTTCCCCTGACCGGAACTGGAGTCAACACAGAGCCTCCCTCCTAAGTTTGGGGTCCCCTGTGGCCACCCATCAGGAGACCCACCCTGAACTTGTTCTGTACTGCTCAGAGGGCAGGGGCCAGAAGAGGAAATGAAGCAATTGGCCAGATGTCCTATTGATCATTGGTGGGAGGAGGGGGTTCTGTGAGATGGCCCCACCCAGCCTGGTCCAGCCCTTCCCCGAAGCAGGCAGCTGCCCCCATTGCAGGGACTCGGGGAAGGAAGCAGGACTTGTAGACAGCTCCTTCTGCTCACCCCTTTGTCCAGGCCAGACCTAGTTTCCTTCCTCCCAACTGATCCTAGAGCCTCCAGGAGACCCCCATTCACCTCCTGCAGGGGCCACAGGTAGGAGGTGGCCCCTGGGGCCAGAAACCCACTCAATAAGTAGCTGCTGATGGATCCCTCTCTCCTCCCGCCCTGTCTAGTTCCTATAGAGAAAGGGCTGTGACCCTGTGAGGGGGGCCAGGACCCAGGAGTGGGTATAGGACTTGGGGGACATGTCCCTAAATGCTTCAGCTCAGCCTGTGTACCAACGCTGGCTTGGGCCAGGCCACCTGATCCCACCTAACCCCACCCTGGTCCTGACCCCTGCGTAGGCCCTTCGCCCTCCTGCCCCGCAGGCTCCCAGACAGCCAGCACACAGGGCAAGTCCCTGGCCCCGTGCAGTCCGCGGGAGGGGCTGGTGCTGCTTGGCTACCAAGTCCGTCCCCCTTGGGTGTCATTCGTCCCTCGTGCCCAGTGTGGGGATCGGCCTGGCTGTGCACACCCCGGGTCATTGCTGCTCCTCCGGCTACTGCTACTGGGTGCTGCTGCGAGGACAGAACTGAAAAATACCTGAAATTCCAGACTCTGTCTCTACCTTGCTGTCTATTCTCAAACCCCTTTTCTCTTCCCATTCTTGCCCTGCTCTGAGATGTCAAAGGAGACACTCCTGGACTTAGCCTGGAGTGTGGCCCAAGATTGTGGACAAGGCTGACAGTCCTGGGCTTGCCGAGGGGCCAGCAGGAAGGCAGCCTACTTCTGACTGGGGCGGGGTCTCCTTAACAAGACTCCACTGCTGCTATACACTGACAGCCAGACAGACTTATGGCCCAGCAGGGACAGACAACTTCCACAACGGTCAGGAGATGTACTACCCCATAGATAAAAGAAAACCTCAGAAACGTCATAGAACTCCACCTGCCCAGCAGGTACAGGGAGGTGCTCAGCCTCATCGGTGTCAGACATGTATTTTAGAGCCACAGGGAGAGCCCCCCCCCGCAACTGGTCTGTGAGCCTGTGGCCTGGGACCCCATCCTGCCTCTGGGCGTCCCCTGGCCTGGCCACTCTGGGGCATCGCCTAGTGAAGTGGGAGATGGCCGGCCCACAGCCCGGACTCCCAGTACTGACAGCTGGAGGGCGAGCACCAAGGTGCGCTCACAGCAAAGCCTGGGAGCAGATCCTGAAGACCGAGTGGTGTGAGGTCACACAGCCCATGCTGAGCCCACCAGGACAGGCAGGGCAGCCTCAGAGGACCCGGGTCAACACTGCACGAGCCACACAGCCAGGCAGAATTCGACCGTAGGTTGGGGTGCATCTGTGTGCAGCACCGCGAGGACGGGGCGGAAACTGCGCGTCGGGACAGTGCTGGAGCTGAGAAGCGGGCTCTGTGCCCCGTGACTGCACAAGGCAGGTCAGTGTTGGCTTTACAGAAATGCAGTCTGTTTGAGGGCACCATGGCTACCTCCTCCCGACACCTGGGTGACCCCCCATCCGGTGTAGGTCACCCCCCAGCCCCAGAGCAGTGGTCCACCTCATGACCCAGGGCTCATCCCAGCTCTTGGTTCCGGCGCCCACAGTCCAGCCCAGCCCAGCACTCACCAGCTTCACACAGATGACGAAGGGCGGCCGGGCAACTCGGAAGTGCAGGATGGGCACCTGTGGCTTCGGTCTTTCCTGAGACAAGACAGGCTGTGGGTGCTGCTCATGGCCCTCCAGCTCCCACAGGGGCACCGCAGAGGGCATGAGCTCCCCGAGCCCCACACCACACACCACCTGCCACCTGACAGCTGCCACAGAACCAGCCAGAGTGAGTGACGGGGAGACCTGGACCTGTAATCAGGGGTCTCCAGTGGAGACACAGGGGAGGGTGCAGAGACCCCCAGGAGTCCGGGGGCTGCATCTGCCAGAACTGGCAGCTGTCTGGGCCCAGGATGGCACCCTGGAGGTGGGCCAGGTGTGTGGCAGGAAACCTCTGTGCATGACCAAGCTTCCACCCGCTGCGGCTCCCGGGCCCACACACCTGAGAGTCTTCATAGCAGTAAAAGCCCTTCTTGATCTTGTTCTCGTCCACGTCGCAGAAGGCAACCACCTGGAGGTGGACATAGGACACCAGCCTCAGGGACAGTGTGGCTGAATGCGGGGGGCTGGGGGGGGGGTCCCGCAGGGGAGGGATGGCCCACCTTGCGCCGTGCCCCTGCTGTGAGGCTGCGGTACAGCCTTCGGCCCTGCTTCCCTGCGTTCCAGATGGTGAAGGTCGCCCAGTGTGGCAAAGCCCGTTCTTCTAGAAAGCGGACACGGTGTGTCCAGAGAGTCGTCCTGTGGAGGGAAGGCTGTGACCTAGGTGTGTGGGGCCCCCAGACCCACCGTCCCCCACCCAGCCTGGCAGGTCCCCTCCTACACGTCCCCTGGTCCTTGTCACCATGGGGCAGCAGGCACCCCCACAGCATCACCAGCTGTTGGCAGGAGGTTGACAGAGCAAGTCATGTTTTAAAGACTCACTCATGCCCTGGCCAGTTTGACTCAGAGTGTCAGCCCTTGGACCAAAGGGTTGCAGGTTTGATTCCAGTCAAGGGCACGTATCTCAGTTGTGGTTCGGCCCTGGCCCTGGTCAGGGTCCAGTGAGAGACAGCCAGTCAATGTGTCTCTCTCACATGGATGTTTCTCTCCCTCCCTCCCTCCCTCCCCCTCTATCTGAAGATGAATGGAAAAATTCTTGGGTGAGGGGGAAAAAAAAGACTTTCCTTCGTGCCTCTTGGTGTCAAGTATTTCAGTGACAATCGTTCAAGGATATAAATGCTGACCGTTCTTAATTTAAAATAAAAAAGCCTGGAACTGGAGCACACTCAGATGGAGGGCTTGGGGGGAGAATCTGAAGGAATTCAATTCATGACAAGCCTCAGGGTATTATTAAACTCATTACTCTGTGAGGTTTTCTACTCACAGCTCAAAGACTTTAATCTGACACAGAAACTGACATGAGCTCACTGCTTTGTGTTGTGGGTGGCAGAGCCTCACGCTGAAGAACAATAGGGAGACGGTCCCAACATAGAAGACATGGTCCCGTGCAGACAGGAGGGCGTGTGCGGCACAGAACTGGTCCCTCCTCGACACGCAGGCACCAGCCCCATGCTTGGTGGACAGAGCTGTGGTTACTCCCTGGGATCTCAAGGGAACATGCGGGAGAGGCCAGGGCCCCTCGTGTCACAGCTCTGCAGATCTGTGCCCAGACCCCCTTAGCACTCTCCACGTCCCCAACTCCACTGAGGGGGAGGCGGGGCAGGGTCACTTCCTTGAAGAAAGGTTTTCAGATACACATGTATTTTTTTTATTCCTCACCTGAGGATATTTTTCTAGTTCTTATCAGAAAGAGAGGGAGGGAGACAGAGAGAAACATGGATGCGATAGAGCCACATCGACTGGTTTCCTCCCACCTGACCTGACCAGGGCCAGGGACGAACTGCAACCCAGGTACGTGCCCTTGATGGGAATTGAACCGGCGACTCATTAGTCTACAAGCTGACACTCTTAACTGCTGAGCCAAACAGGCCAAGGCCATTTTCAGATATTTTTTTAAAATTTAAAGAAAGTATAATTTTTTACCTAGTGAAGTGCATGTATCTCAAGTGGTGTGGTCTCTTCCTTAAATCTTTGATAGATTAGATCAGCAAGTCCATCTGTCTGGGTTTTTCTTTATGGGGAGTTTTAAAATTACAAACCTGGTTTTTTAATTATTATTTATACTTTATCTATTGAATCTGTAGTGACTTCCTCTCTTGCATCCCGAATATATTATCTGTATTTTCTTTTAAAAATCAGTCTTGCTAGAGCCTTGTCAATTTTTTTCTTTATTGATCTTAGAGAGAGAGGAAGGGAGAGGGAGAGACAGAAACACTGATGAGAGAGAACAGGACTGGCCACCTCCTGCACGCCCCCCACGGGGGTTGGGCCCACAACCTGGGCATGTGTCCTGACTGGGAATCGAACCAGCGACCTCTTGTTGCAGGGTTGATGCTCAACCACTGAGCCACACTGGCCGGGCAAGCTTTGTCAATTTTATTGCTTTTATCTCAAATCAATCGTTGGTTTTGATTTTTTTTTTTTTTTTGGTATTCACTGTCTTTTTGTGTGTTGTTTTTCCTTTTTTTTTTTTTTTAAATTGATTGTTTTAAAGAGGAGGGAACAGTGAGAGAAACACTGATTGGCTGCCTCCTGCACAACCCTGACTGGGGATGGAGCCCACACCCGGGCACGGCCCGACCAGGAAGGGAACCGGGCCCTCGTAGTCCCGGATGATGCCTGTCCACGGACCACACCAGCCGGGTGAGCCTGACTTTCGATGGCACAGCCTTGGCGATGGCCCTCGTCTGGATCTGCTGTCATGGATCTGACTCGCTGCACAAGTGACCTGCACACATGGGAACAAGTCCCTCACAGGACATGACAGCCCTGCATGTGTCCCCCAGCGGGAGCTTCCAGATACGGGGAGCAGAGCACAGCAGCAGCAGGGCAGACAAACCCGTCCAGTAGGGGGTGTGCAGGAGACAGCTGATTGATGTATCTCTCACACTGAGATTCTCTCTCGCCCTCTCTCTATAAAAAAAATTTAAAAATAAAAAATAAAAACATAACTAAAAAAGTCAGATTCACAAGGGAAAGAAAAATCAGTTCTTTTCCAGCCCAAAGTTTTCACACTGAGCAGCATGTGTGCGGACATTCGGGCCCCTCCTGCACCAACGTGGACACCACCATCCACAGCCCACACAGACGTGCGCAGATGGGCGCTGCACCCTCAGAGTACGTGAGCATGACAGCCCCAGGACACAGGCTCCCCATCGAGAAGCGATAACCACCTCCCAAGAGGTCTCACCTCCAGGGAAAGGACGGGGTCAACCCGACTCCCAGAAACAAGTGTACAGGACCCCGGACGCAGGCAGCATGGTGACGGTGAGGAATCTGGGGACATATACTTGTGACTGTGACCAAGATGGGACATGCACACAGACACCACAGCACAGACTAAAGAAATGAAGGCACCCTTCTCTCTCTTTTGTTACTCCTCACCCAAAGATATTTTTTCACTGATTGCAGAGAGTTGGAGGGATGAGAGAGAGAGAGAGAAACATAGATGCGAGAGAGACACATGGACTGGTTGCCTCTGGGACACAACTGGGACTGGGGAATTGAACCTGCAACCCAGGTGTGTGCCCTTGACTGAGAATTGAAGCTGTGGCCCTTTGGTGTGTGGGCTGATGCTCTGACCACTGCGCCACAGTGGCCAGGGCCACACCCTTCCTTTTTTCAACCTACCTGCACATTCTGCACCTCTTTTGCCCCCGTTCCCAGCGTCAACCTCTAGTGCACACTGGGGGTGATGCAGGCTGGCAGCCTTGGAGCCTGCAGGACCTGGGTTGTGCCGGGCAGGAGAAGGCAGAGAGAGAGTAACCCCCAGTGATGCCCCAAGCAGGGTGTGGCTCAACCGCTGTGCCCTGCAGCCTCCTCGAGGAGTGAAGGAGGGGCACCCCTAGCAGGTAGTCATGCCAGAGGTGTGCAGGGCCCTTCTGCACATGCATCTATCTGAGTCAACCTCTCACTGAACTTGGCGGGCCCCTTGGAGTCCACCAGCACCCCACCATGCCGGATCTGAAGACCTGCGTACTCGAGAACAGAGTGCGTGGCTGCACCATGGTGGTAGCGGTAGAGGAGGAGGCACTGGTCCACCCGGACGACACCACCGCCCTTCCTGAGGTGGTTGTAGAAGAACAGCAGGTCCTCAGGCACACCCTGGAGGTAAAGGAGAGCGTGTTCATGCACATGCGCAGCATGCCCCTCAAGAGTGTCTGTTCGTTCATTCAGGGCCAGGCTCCTCCACCTCCGAGAGGAGGTCTTCAAGTCCCAGCAGAGGCCCAACAGGGTGGCCGTCACCCTCAGGGAAGAACAGCCTCACAGTCGGGTCCACGCCAGCTCCCTGGCCATGTGCCCCAGCCTGCCCGTATGCACGGGCCTGAGGGCTCAGTGCTGCCCAGGCCCGCACCCTGCTCGCTGCTCGCGGGGGGTGAGTGCGCAGCTGGTCAGTGGGCTCATCGCATCTCCGGGCTCGGGTCTCACCCCTGCAGTCTGCGGTTAGCACCCTGTCTGTCCACCTCGCCATCCACAGAACAGCGCGAGGGCCAGTCTCACTGCTCTGAGTCCTCAGCACAGATTTGGGATGAGTAGAGGCAGTGCACATGCGGGCGACCCCAGACTGCAGAGACCAGACATGGGAGAACCCCCAGCAAGTATCTGACACAGAACACCAGCAGTTCAGCCAGAAAGGGACACCCCGTGAAAACGGGAAAGATTTGGACACGTCATAAAATAACACACAGTCGGCATAGCAAATGGCTCAACACCCTTCGTCGTCTTGGAAATGCAAAGTAACGCATGAGGACCCACAGGACCTGAGGACAGGGCACCACAGGCCTGCACAGGTCCCAGCAGGGTTCAGCCTGTGGAGAAGCCTCCTCACAGCAATCAGCCTGGGCGGCTCCCAGCACAAAGCCAGTCTGCAGAACGGTGCAGAGGCAGTTCTGAGCGTGTGGGCGCTCGGGCCGCGATGAGCTTCACCCGGCCATGCCCACCCGGCTAGGCCTGCCCTCAAGAGCCATGCTCCGCACCAACAAATGCCATTTTTGTTACTCATTTGAGAGCCTGAAATGGTGCCTGTGGGGACACCCGGATTCCTCCTGTGCAGGCCTGCATCTCGCTGCCTCTATCACTGGCCCGCCCACCCACGGCCCTGCATGGACCCTCCACTTCACCAAGGTTCAGGGGGAAACGGCCCAGTACTCAGGGTGCCTGTTTTCCCGCAGAGAACGCTCCATGGAAGCGTGTCAGCTCACTGTGTCACGATGGGGCCACAGGGGCCACGAGCACATGGCCAGTCCTCACCCTGGTGCTGGCTCCCCTGCCATCTGACCTGCTGCTCGCTTCCCAGCCGCGGTTCCAGCACAGCCCTGGGCCCGGTCCCTGAGCTCAGCACAAAGGGAGGGACGGGCTTCGCTGCCCTCCAGGAGCCTCTTCGGCAGAATTAACTCCAGCTAAGAGACCCGACGTCTTCCAGACCGAGACTGCCCGCGACTGCGATCCACGGCTGCGCAGACCCTAGTCAGCTCCCTGTGTGGGCCCCCGGCGACTGTGAGCAGCAGGGCTCAGCCCCAGCTGCAGCAGGACAGCGGCTGTGTGCAGGGGGAGACCCTGGGGTGTCCCTCTGCCCACCTGTTGTCTGAACTTCAGGGAGAACTACCGGCTGAGGGCATCTTCCTCGAGCCCCCACTGCCTGGGGGCCTGCAGGACCCTATGGCAGCACCTGAGCTCCTCTCACTCACGTCAATTTGGGGGCAAAACAGTAACATGGGCAGTGCCCAGTACCCCAGAATCGTGACTGGCACTCTGCCACAACAAGAACCAGGGCCAGGAGGCGCGCAGGGGGCCGGATCCTAGGGACAGAACCTGGCAGGGCGAGGGGACTGGGTGGGGCCAGGCCCTGGTTTATACCCCGGGGCAGCACTGCTGGCCTCCCCAGGCTCTCCTCTCCGGTGGGCGTGCGGGAACCGTCAGGCTGGGTGCAGTGGTGGGGGTGGGGCAGCAGATGAGCTGAGGTCTTCCTCCAAAATGAGGCTGTGGCAGGGGCTGGGCAGATGGATGGGATGCCAGTGGGATCAGGGCAGGTCGGCCCACATGCCCCGTGCAGTCAGTGAACTGTGAGCCCAGAGCCAGAACGACTGTGCCCAGGTCCCAGGGCAGACAATGAAGTCTGGCCTGAGTCACCGTCCCCACTTCTGGTCTGGGGTCTGCAGACCCCTAGGACCCTGTTCCCAGCCCCTTGCAGGGCCTCCACATCCAAGCTCCCTCTTGTCCCACCCTCAGCAGTGAAGGGGGCAGGGCATCAAAGGTCCAAACAGGGACCAGACACCCCTCCAACCAAGGAGACCAGATTCCCTGTTCTCAGAGCCACTTTGAGGGGAGGGGGTAAGGGAAAATACACTGATTAACCGTAAGGCTTACTTTTACTTTTTTTTTTTTTTTTTTTTAAGAGGGGAAGAGAGAGAGAGAGAGAAACATTGATGTGAGTGAAACATCGATGGCTGCTTCCTGCACCCTCTACTAGAGATATCGAGCCCACAACCTGGGCATGTGCCCTGACAGGGAATCGACCTCTCAGTCCGTGGGACGACGCTGGATCCACTGAGCCCCCTGGCTGGGCTGAAGGTTTACGTTTCAATTGGGTGTAGGAGCGGTCACTCTAAGACTGGGGAGGGAGCAGTGACAGGGAACAGTCACCAGCTAGGTCTCCATTTCTAGCCCAGAGGCCAGAAACCAGTGTGGGCGGAGCTCCTCCCCAGCTTGGACACTGTCATACACCATCTACATCCTAAACTTTCCCACAAACAGCTTTTAAAGCAGGGTGAGGTCACCAGGGGCCCGGGCCAGGCAGGTGTGAGTCAGGCAGGTGCCCCGGGCGCCCTCAGCCTCACACACAAATCCCCTGCTTTTGGCAAAACAAACTCACGGATGCTCAGCGGAGCACAGCAGGAGCGCGGGGAGACCTTCACCCAAGGCCAGTTCCTAATCCCTGGATCCCAGGGCTCGGTCATGGCGCCTACATGCAAGCAGGGTGGGGTGAGGGGCCTGTCTTGGAATGATGGCACCAACCCCAACCCCAGAGGCGGACTCTACAGGGGACCACACTCACCTGCCCGCCCTCGTCAAACGGGCCCACGTGAGAGAACCACGCCCGAGAGCAGAACCAGGTAGGCATGATCACAGTTGGGCCATTGGAGGTGAAAACCTAGAAGCAATTAACATTGGCAGAATTCATAGAGCAGCTTGTCACAAATACCCTACAATACATTCCCACAGTGTCACTCAGAGAGTCACAAGCCACTCTGCACATCCCTCCTCTGCAGGTCCAGGGTTCGAGGGACTTGAGCGGCAGGCAGCGCCACCCAGTCCTGTTCCCAGCTAGTGCACACTGGCTGTTCGTGAAGGAGCCCCCACTGCGTGTAGCTGATGGTGAAGCTTCCGTGACCATGAAGGAAGACCTGCTGCTTTTAATGGTGAGAAAACAAAACGGAATAGATGATGACTAGAGTCTGGATGGAATAGGCAAACTCCTAGAAAGACAAACAGTCCACGTGCCTCAGGAAACAAAATCTAAACACATCTGTGCAACGAGAGACAGCTGTGAACAGACTGCCAGGAAGAGAAGCCAAGGACCAGAGGGCTCCACAGGGCCCACCAGAGAGTTAGAGAGCTGACACCCGTCCTCAAACTCTCCCAAAAACAGAGGAGGAGGGAGCACCTCCTGACTCACTCTACCAGGCGGCAGCCCCTGCGCCAGTCGACATCACAGGGAGCCACACACCCGCGTCCACGTGAATCACCTGCACAGATCTTCAGCAAGATACCAGCCAACAGCCCAATATCCCAGAATAAGACTCCACACAGGAGCAGGTGGGACTTGTTCCAGGGATGCACCTGATTCGACATGAAACTCAGTAGATGAAATCACCCTTAGTAGTATGAAGGATGGAAATCACGTGCCCATCTCGATCATGCAGAAAAGGCATTTGAAAAAATCTAACTCTTTTTCATGATAAAGGTAGTCACTCTGATAAAGGGCATTAAGAAAACAAACCACAGCTAACATACTTAACATGATGAAATACTAAGAGTTCCCCAGAAACAAGATCAGGGTGCCTGCCTGCTCTTACTACTCCTACTCAGCACTGTGCTTGAAGTTCTACACAGAACAGCTAGGTGAGGAAAGAAACAGAAGGAATTTTATTTCTACTCTGGGAAAGAAGTAAAACTGTATTTGCAGATGGCACAACTCCATGAGTAGAAAACCCTAAAACCCCTGTGCTGACAGTTCAGTGAAGGTCAGGATACAAGGCCCCCCTACAAAACCCAACCGCATTTCTGTACACTAGCAATGAACAACCCAAAACGAAGGTAAGAAGACAGTTTCATTTACAATGGCATCACAGAGAGTGGTCAGGAATGAATTGAACAGAAGAGTACAAGACTCACACACTGAAAATTACAAAACACCCTTGAAAGAAATTAAAGACCTAAAGAAATGGAAAAATCTCATTTTCGTGGACTGAAAGACTGACATTGTTAAGATGGCAACCCTCCCCAACTGATTTACAGATTCAGCATAATTCGCACCAAAGCCCAGCTGCCTTTTCCCTGAGACTGACAAATGGGTCCTGTGGAAGCACCGAGGATATGGACAGCCAAAGCAGACGGCAGAGCTGCGGCTCTCCAGGCCGTGGGGACCGACACAGGACAGACAGATGCCAAGGAGCAAAGCCGAGAGCCCAAAACAAACCCACGCATGTGCGACCAGCGGGTTTAACAAGGTGTTGAGATGCCTGATGGGAAGCAGTCTTTTCGACAAATGGGACAAGTACGTGTTCACATGGAGAACAGAACCGTGCCCTGGCCTCACACCATGCACAGACATGAACGTAAGTGGACCAGAGCCCTAGACTAAGAGCTCAAACTGTGAGAGTCTTAGGAGGAGACGTAGGTGTGAATCTTTATGAGCACAGATGAGACAACAGTTTCTTAGTCTGACACCAAAAGCATGAGCAACCAAAGGAAAAAGCAGGTAAGTGGGACTTAATGAAAATGTGCACGTTTTTGCTTTAATTTAGAGGAACTTGCAGAATGGAAGGGAGTATCGCTCATCACACATCTGGGTGTAGGGACCGGAACACACAGAGGATTCTTACACTTCAGAAATACAAAGACAAACCAACTCTAAAATGTGGGCAAAGGAAGCGAGCAGATGTCTGTCTCAGGAGGTGCACGTGGCATCACGCACAGGAAGAGATGTCCAACATCCTGATCAGTCACCAGGGGATGGGACTCAGCCACAGGAACATGTAGTTTCACACCTGCCCTCCAGGACGGTCTGGCTTTCCCCTGCGCCCGGAGGTCAGGGCCTGTTTGTCCTTTCTGCAGGGCACTACAGGGCTCAGCGAAGGTTCAGAAGGCATGTGGTGGCCAGGCAGTGGCACAGGGACTGACCCGAGGGAAGCTCCACCTGCCTGTGTGCTCTGTGCATGCGCGTGCGCACACACGTGCAGGTACATACGTGCAGGGTGCAGAGACATGGCCTGCGAGAGTGCCACCACGATGGGACAGCAGTGGTGTGGAGCTGCGTGTTAGACCCCGAGTGTACAGGGCAGTCAACACAGGTCCTAGGCAGGGACACACACATCATTTCAGCTGGACTTCCCTGAAGGGGGACAGTGCAATGACCATCAGGCTTTGGAGCGCACAGGCCCTCGGCCATCAGAGACCACGCGGCATGCCCACGTGAGATAGGAGCTCCCAAACATTCTGAGGGGGCACAACCCACTCCAAGTCAGACTCACTGTGGACACAAAGGTCACAGTGTCACACACTAACCTCTAGGGACGGCCAGAGAACAGAGGGTGAGAACAGAGGGTGTGTTCATCACAGGTCAGCAGCCCGGCATGTGCAGGCACCCAAAGCTGTGAAAAGGCCCTGAATTTGGGGAAAAGGGGCAGCAGCCAGGAGCCCCTGGCACCGGAGTTCCTGCTGTGTGTGCAAGAAAGAAGAAGCCGAGCCGAGGGCCAGCAGCACTGCCCACACGTTCCTGCTGGCTCTGCCGCTGGCCCAGAGCAGGGCCTGCAGGGAAAGCCCTGGGCAGCCTGTCCCCCAGATGGCGACATGGATGCCTGCCGGGGTGGCCTCTGAGGCCTGTGGTAGCAGAGCCTCACCATCCTGAAAACCACCACCTGCTCTACATTACACCTGAAATGGACGGCTCGGCTCGGGGGTGTGGCAGACAAAGGTGATCCACCTCAGCCTCCCAGGAAAGGCACCAAAAGCACCCCCACCCCAGAGACCACATGCTCTGCAGGTCAGCTGCATTTCTTGCGGGGCCAGGAAGTGGCCAGCTGCACCAGCCGCGAGGCCTGTGCAGGTGCTGGGTGTCCACAGCCCGCGTGGTGACAGGCGAACATCCCAGGAGTGGGCTGTGGGTGACTGAACGCAGAAATCGATAGCTCTGAGAGAGACAATGTCAGGAAAAGCTCGTTTGTCATTATTTGGGGAAATTATGAAACTACTCTTCTGAAAGTGAGCGATCACAGGGACAAGTCATTGTTTCGTTACATTGAGCTCAAGGTGCACCCAGCCCTGGACAGCTGCCCCCGCTCCAGGGGAGCACAGGAAGGCGGGTGGGGGGGGGGGCTGGACGAAGACTTAGTTCACAGATGGTAGAGGTGGGGGACTGGAGAGGGCAGGGGGTAGCAGCGAGACGGTGACGTTGCCTGGATTCAGTAAGCTTGAGGAAGGAGTCACTCCCAGCACAAGACCCTGGACTAGGGCTCCCCCGCTGGACCTTCCCCACCAGGGTCTCAGTCCCTCCTCACAGCACGGGGACCGGTCAGGTGAGCTACGGTGACAGTGACATGGCCCTTGACCCCATTAGCTCTCCCACTGTACAAACCATCCATGCAGGTCAGAGCAAGACATGGCCAGGTCACAGCCCTCCAGAGGCACAGGCCCCTGACCCTGATTCCTACGGGCCCCTCAGATGGCACAGGACCGCCCAGAGCACACCTGCCATGTCTCAGGGCTGCCCCCAGATGTCTCTTAAGAGCATCACTCAGTCATGCCGACCCCCACTCCACATAAGACTTAACAAGACAGAACAGCTTCCAAAGCATTGCGTAATGTTTTCCCCACTCAAAAAAGAACAAAGAGAACTCCTGTCCCAGGCATTTCTCAACCTTCCTGCCTCTGACCAAGCTTCTCGGTGGGGGTGCCAGGGAACCTGAGGGGCTCTCTACCCTTTATCACCTTTCCCATGGACTCAAGTCTCCACCCATAAATGCTCACCCCGAATCACCTCTGAGCCCCACTGGGGGAAATTCTGAGGGCTCCAACCACAGCACCTGCAGAAGGAGCCTCAGTCTCGCCACAGGGGTTCAGGGCTCTCTGGGCTCCTAGCCTCTGCTCCAGCCCAGCCACAGGACATGAGACCTGGGGACTATGCTTGCCCAGTGGGGGAGGTGAGAGGCCTCTAGCTGTTGGGTCCCTCTCTTCCCTCTCCAATCAAGTGAAACTAAATGCAGTTCTTAAGCAAGAACTTTTTATGATGAACTCCCCAGGATGGAAGATTTTAAAAATGAAAGTCCATCTCATAGAAATCAGAACAGAACAAAGAACATGAAAACCCAATGAAGACACCTTCCCTTCCTGGCCAGGTGGCCCGGCTGGTTGCAGCCCTGTCCTGCTCTGCCCACAAACGAGGAAGTAGAACATCAGATCTGTGTTTCCCTCTTTCTCTTTCTAAAACCAATTAAAAAACACAACCTTCCCTAAAATGACAGAATGTATGGAATATACAGCCTTGGATGAGCCATGATGGTTTGCATTTAAAATATTTACCCTAAGTCATTAAACATTGTTTCTTCTAAAGCAATATGTACTTGATTCAAATAGTATAAAATACAATGATCCCCAAAAGCTAGTTTTTGGAAAAAAGAAGTTTGGGGCGTTGCCCATGGAGGGTAGGGCCAGGGCAGTGAGCACCCTGTCTGCGCTCAGCCTGTGCTCAGGAGCATGCCCACGGGGCCTCCTGGACTTGAAGAGTGGGTGACAGCGAAGCCAGTGCCCGCCCCTGGCCTGCCCACAAGTTTCATGTTCTCTATGAATCCCGACAGCTGAGCTGACCAGAGAGACAGCCTGACCAGGAGCAGGGCTGGGACTCGACAGGCGCCGGGACCAGGTAGGCCTCCC